GTGGCCTTCCCTGGACTCAGATGTAGCACAGGAGGCCGGAGCAGGTGCGGTGAGGGAGACCTCAGGTGCTGTGCTCCCGAGGACCCAGTCACCTGGGAGGCTGGGTGGGACCCTGGGATCTGCCTCTTAGCAAGCTTCCAGTGTCAGGTTTGGGACCCACTGCCCCACTGACTGCTTCTGGAGGCGGGGGGGTCTCTCTGAAATGTGGCGGCCACTCCCTCCCAAAGGACACTGGAAGCAACCTGCTCCCAGGCTCTTCCATTCTTCCAAGTCCATGAGCCTTACAGGAAACCGAGGCAGGGCAGAGTCCATCTTTGCCCCAGGCTCTGTGAGTTCTTCTCTTGGGTGTGAGGATTTCCCAGAAACCCCAGGTCAGAGCTGGGGTTCACTCCACTGTGTGGCCTTGGGCAGCTCACGCACCCTCTCTGAGGCCCTCTTGCCCTGCCTGTCTGAAGGCAATATTATCTACCTCGTGAGCAGACGTGAGGGTTGAACAGCTTAACAAAAAAACGAGGTTCTGCTGCAGTCCTGCCTGCTTCTGGATTCTCAGGAAGGCTCTGGCCCCGCCCCTTTCCCCAGGTGTCTCCCTCCCCGAGCTTCAGGCGCCCACGGCCTCCCTGGCCCCGCAGCTCTTAGCAGACAGGTGCTCAAACCTTCAAGACGCCTGGCTTCTTTCCAGCAGCCCAGGATAACTGAAGGAGAGGTAACACCGGGGGATTCAAGCTGAAGAAATTTTACTTTGTTGGGATTTAGTCCTCTGTGGCTCCCCCTCCCCAGGCACTTGGCATCTGAGAACTGACCCTCCCTGGACAGGACCGCAGCCTCACTGGGCACAGACCACCTCAGCATCATGCACAGTGCACTTCAAAGCGTGCAGGGCCCCTCGAGTCCACCTTCTCACCCTGTCCTCACCAGCAGGGACAGGCCGCCGATACCACCCATTCTAGGGGGGAGGGAGGCAGGTGAAGGAGCCTGGGGTCACAGAGGGGTTGAGGCTGGAGCGAGGATGAGGGGCTGCCTGACACAAATCCCGCGCTCAGCACCTGGCCGGGTGCTCTCCACGGCCCAGGCCGACTGCCCTGGCTCCAGCACAGCCTGGGAGACGGCCCCTGCCACGGCCTCTGGGGTGGGGTGAGGCTGACGGGCCGGCTCCTGGGGGCACGGACCTGCATGGGTCGGTGGGAGCTGGCGAGCCACGGGGGTGCAGATGGGGCCTCAGAAGGTCACAGGCAGCACTGTTACAGTGTTCCATGTCCCCTCGACTCGGGGACAGCCCACATTCTCATACTCATTCATCCTGTGAGCCAGGAAGCCACAGCATCGGGCTGGAAGGGATCCCGGCACCGACAGACGTCTCCAGGCTAACACCTGTGAATACTGGTTCAGTTGAAGTACTGATATCCCTCCACACCAGCTGGTAAATGGCTTTCCCCAACCCCCATCCTCCCCTATGCCACCTCTCACCTCCACACACCTGCACAGCGGGCAGCCTCCAGTCCTTTCCAATTGGCAGGTGCTCCGGCCCTGCCCATTGGTAAACATTTTGAGTATCACCCCTGCCCTGTTCGGCTGTTAACTGAGGGCTCTTTGTGGGGCACCTGTTCCCGTAGGCCTGCTGCTGAGTGCCCTCGTGGACACCTTTTCTGGACATTACACTCATTTTCATAGTGCCTCAAACCTGAAGGAGAGGTAACAACGGAGGATTCGAGACCAATTGAAGGATGCAAAGCTACAGGCTGCCCCCTGCTGCCCTAAATGTGCATTGCAACCATCCCCGGTTGGACTTCCACTTTCTGCTAAAATGCATTCAGCTGTCCTTCAGCGGGAAGTTACAGAATAAAGGAAATAAAATGATGCCCAGAATTTCTTCCAATTCTTAAAATGCCCCCAACTTCCAGGAATCCAGAGCCTTCATAACATAAACTACTTAGCTTATATTTTGAATAGTCAAAGTAAAACTCTTTATGTGGGATGCTTTTCCTCCATAAATAATATTTTAAGAAGAGACCAGGAATGGCAGTCAGCAAGCAGGGCTTCTGATCTTGGCACCACATTTCCTGCCCATGTAATCACTGAGGGTCATAATTTTCCTGAGCCCCGAGGCCTGCACCCAAATCCAGATGTGATCAGCCTTCCCTTGCAAGGCTGTCATATTTCAAAGAGAAATGCAAGTGAGCATGCTCTCAAAGCTAACATGCTATGCAAGTACTATTTTTAATGTAATTTTCTATCAGGGAATATTTAAATTATTTCCCAGAGCCTAGATTGGTATTGGAAATGTAGAGTGCCTAGTTGCTGAAAATTATCAAGGATGCTCCTGGGGAAAATGGGGAGAAGTTGGGTGTTAGCTGAGTCGCACAGGGTGAGAGAGTTAATACAGCAGGACTGAGACTGCTGTGCTGAGGCAGGCCTGCTCCTGACACTGGCCCTTCCTTCACTGGAGTCTGGGAACTTAGATTTTGGGGGGCTTCCCTCACTGCCCTGCTCAGAACGGCTCTCTGTGCCGCAGCTGTTGGTGCTACAGTATTGCTGCTACTGAGCACTGCTTTCCTTCAGGAGTCTGGGCTCTGGGGCTGTGCTGTGCTGTGCAGAAGGTGCCTGCAGAAGCAGCTCCCCTACTGCTAAAAGCCCTGGGCACTGAGTCTTAAAGGAGCCTCTCTGGCCCTTCACACGAGTTTGCCACAACTCATTGCTGGGGAATCAGCTCATCCTGTGTGACTCCCCAGGATGAGGGCTCCGGAAGCAGGTGCCTGGCTTCCTCTGCACTTCCCTTCGCATGCCTATTCCCTTTGCTGGTTTCGCTTCGCTTCCTTTTGCCATAATAAACCAGAGCCATGAGCATCACCATAAGCAGTCCTGCAAGGCCTGCTCGTGAATCATCGACCTGGAGGTGGTCTCGGAGACCCCCCTACACCACACAGCAACCAGTTCTGGCCAGACTGGTAAAGCTGACGTGCTTGAGCTTTGCTGGGATCAACACTCCTGACGAAGAACCCAATGGAAAGAAACAGAGGTTCAAAGACATCCATCACAGCTAATGGTAAATCTGAAAAAAAAGCACATAAAATTCAGGCTAGGATGGAGAACAAGGGGAGGAGTTTTATTCCTACATAAATTACCTTTAATGTTGCAGTTTTAATAAACTAGGGAACTTTTGGGGGACTTGGTAGGAGCAGCTGGAAAGGTGTGAACGGTGGCCCTGAACCCTTCCCTTGACTTACACCTTTATAAAGCCTTCAAGGTGTGTGCCCAGTGGGAAGACGGGGTTGGTGTTAAGCCAAAACTTTTACCCAAGAAAGGGAGGTTTAGGGGAGAAGGGGGACGCCTAAAATTTGCAGACAAATATTTCCCCCATGGAGTCCCTGCCTTCCCAGAGCCCCACCTCTTCCTGAACCCCTTCTGTGCCCTCTCCTCTCCTGATCATTTCTGTTCCTTCTTGACACTTGCTCAGCTCTTTAAGCTGGCTCCGTGGGCTCCTCCCACCTTTCTGACTCCTCTGCCCTGCCCTGCAGTGGGCAGCTCCAGCTAAGGACCCCTCCTTTGCCAGCAGAGGCTAAAAGAAGTGGCTGTGGCCCTGGGGCAGCAAGGCCCAATCTGCCCCACCCCCAGATGCTACTCCCACCTGGCCTAGTGGGGCCACACCTGCTACTGCCCACAGGACCCTAGCTATAAAGTTCTACCAGAACTTACCTAAAGGTCCTTATTGGAGTTGAGAAAAACCCACTAAAAATACAGCTCCAGAAACACCACCCCGCCCCTCGTCCAGGGATTTTTGTCCTCTCCTGGAAAACTGTATATAAAGTTACTTCTCAAGATGTGGGGTGTGGGAGGGGCAATGACTTGCTCCAGGAGCCCTAGCAAGTCACTGGCAGAGGCGGGCCAGGAACCCGGGGTTCTGATTGCCCCTGGGATGTGTGGGGGCTCCTCCAGCCTGGCACTTAGTCAGACCCCCTTTTCCTCCAGAGTGAATCTAGATATGTTTCTAGATGTACTGGAAAGAGAATGTGTTCAACCCAGACTGGCAGGTGAGATCTTTTCCTCCTCAACATTTATTTTGAACATTTTCAAATAATAGAAAAGTTGAAAGAATGGTACAGCGAACACCCATATGCCCATAGTTAGACTCTACAATTAGCATTCTATTGTATTTGTCACATAAACTAAGATAAATTTTAATTTTTGAAAACTAACCCCCATGGAAATATTTAGCCTCTGCAAACATCAGGCATGAGGTCATTCCGGACGCCCTGCTGGCCTTGATAGTCCTGTTCACTGTGTCTGGAGCCTGTGGCCAGGGGACTGGGCCCAGGGATCTGGGCAAACTGCAGTGCTGCTCCAGGCTGTCCCAAGCACCAGTCTGCAGTCAGCCTTACAGGTGGCCTCCCACACAGCAGGCGCTGCCCTCTGTAAATGCACCCATGGGGCCCCTTCCAGAGGCCGGAGGAGGTCAGAGCTGCCACTCCCCGGGCACAGCAGAGGCCCGTCCTGGCTGTGCTGGGGACACAGCACCTGGGAGAGAATGGGCCCTGGGGATGCCTCACAGTTCATCTCCACTAGGCAGACTTCAAGGTCACTGAACGCCAGCCTGTCTCCTCCCAGCTCAGGGGGCAGAACAGAGGAGAGAGGAGAGGCCAAGCCCTGGCCCCACTTTGAGACTGGTTGTCCCAGGAGGCCACACTCAGCCCCCCTCAGGCAAGTGCTGGTGGCTCTTTGGGGCCCCATGCCTCTCACCTGATCTCCTCCAGCCCAGTCCTCTGCCCGAGCCAGGTGTGGACTCCACCACCTTCTCTCACCTGGCCCATGGCAGTGGCCACCACCTGCTCTTGTCATTTCCAGATGCTTCTTTGCCCTGCAACACCCTGTGGCTTCAGGCCAGCAGTGTCGGCCCACTGTGTGCAGACTCCCCCACGCAGCTCAGCGCAGCTCTGTGGCCTCCCCTCCCCTCCCCATCCCTGCGTCCCCCCCAGCTTCGCCCCCTCAGGTACTGAGCTGTCTCTTGCATCCCGGCTTTTCCTCCTGGCAGACCCTTTTCACCTGTGAAGTCCCAGCTCCGTGGGACCCCTTTCACGAAAGCAGAATCGAGAGGAGGCGCCCAGGCAGGAGCACGATGCCAGCTCTGGTGCCTTGGCTGAGCTGGTCCCCAGGGCTGAACCCCGGGTGCCTCATGCCTGCCTGTGTAGCACGGTTTTGTCTGCCCTTGACTGTGTGTCTATTTCCCAGCTCTGCAGAGAGGGGAACACCATGCCCAGCTGGACCAGCTCACAGATAAGTTTCATGGAAAGAACCAGAATCTTCCAACACATACCGGGCACAACGAGAAGCCGAGGGATCCAGAAACATGGAGTGTGGGGGGCAGAAGCCATGAGGGGTGTCCGAGGAGGTCAGCTGAGAGAGGCCTGGGGCCACAGAGCGAACTCAGGCTGCTGAGTCAGAGCCAAGACTGGGCTGAAGGCCCAGAATGGGAACCCCCGCCCTCAGGGTCATGACCTCAAGGCCAGGCCTCAGTCCTGTAATTAAATGTGCTTGGTGAGGGCCTCAATTTCCTCATCTGTCCAATTGGGTTGGAAATCCCTGCCTTGAATGATTGGGAGGGGTCAGCAAGATAAAGACGGCACTTTGTGAACCCTCTGTGCAGATTGAACAGGTATGGACATTAACAGAGCGGTACCCCTCATTTCCCGGAGCCCAGCACACGCTCAGAACCTGTTCCATGATCGGCAGAGACACGGGAGCCACATACCGCTGTCCGCTCTGGAGTCACAAAGCACCTTCCCACCCACTTCTCAGGTGAGCCTCACAGCATCCTTGACGGGGCAGAACAGGATTATTGCCCCTGCACAGGCCTGGAAAGGGCAGGGGTGGCCCCCAGCACATGGCAGTCTGGGAGGCTGGGCCCAAACCCCCTGGCCCATCGAGGAGCCCTGGTCTTTTCTTGCTGCCACGGAAGTCAGAACTTGGGTCCCTCCCTCCCCCATGCTGTTTGGAGGCCTCCAGCAGGGGCCTCAGGAGGCAGACCAGGGGGGCAGCTGAGCTGGGCATGGCTCAGTTCAGGGGCGCACTCTCCCCCACCCCGGGGCTTAGATCACACACACACACACACACACATGCACACACACGGCCCGCCCCTTCCTGGGCACACTCGGGAGCTGCCCATCGCCAGGGCAACAGTCAACACAGACAGAAGCTCCAAACACAGCTGGGCTCAAATGCTCTCCTCAGCCTGCAGGGCCCCAGTGCCTGTCGGCCACTCTGGGCTCAGGGTCCAGAGGCGCAGTGAGGGAGACCCTGAAAGGCTGTCTTGGGGTCAGGAGGGGAGAGGACGTCCCGGGAGTGGTCCGCGCTCCGGCAGGAGCCTCTGTCTCCCTCTCTGTCTTACACACACACTTGCACGCATGGGAAGCCACCCCACCCCTGGGCTCCAGAAAACCACGCCAGCTGGATGTCAGCTGCCTTCAGACAGGCCGCCAGCCTCAGTCTCCTCCACTGCCCGGGGTGGCCCTGTGGTGGGCAGGGCCCTCGCTGGCGGTCGCCAGGGCCCCCGAGCCCTGGAAGCACAGCGGGATCAGCTGTGGGGAGAACTGCTGGAGGCCGAGAGGCGCAGCCAGCGGCGCTGGTGAGTGCCCCCCGCAACCTGCCCAGCCAGCACCTCCTGGCCCAGGCCTAGGAAGCATCTGGGGAAGAGAGGTGGGTGAGAGGGAGCCGGTTAGGCAAAGGGAGCAGTGCCCATGGGCGCAGAGCAGAGGCCAGGGCCCAGGAGGGAGCCCGCCCGGCCGTGGGCAGACGGGGGCCTGGAGAGCAGGGGAGGTAGGCAAGGGCCGGGTAAGGGGGCCAGTGCAGCCCCACCTCTTCACTCAGGGTCCCATCAGCCCTTCGGCATCATCTCTACTGCTGGAGGTCCAGGAGAGCCTGCAGGGCCGTCAGCAGTCAGGGAGAGACGCTGGCCTCTGACCCGGGAAAGGACTTCCCTTCACGCTTCCGTTCCAAAGGAGGGCAGAGGGGAGGTGGGTGCCTGCCTTCTGCAGGGAGCTGCTCACCAGGGCCTCTGAGGAGGCGACATTCCAACTGAGACCTGAAATAGGGGCCAAGAAAGTTTGGTGCGTTTTTTGCACAAAACAAAACAAAGACAGTCCATGTGTCTGAGGCCATCAGTGAGGGGATAGGAGCCACAGGAAGAAAAGTGGGGGTGAACCAACGGCCCACGCGCTTGTAGGAGTCTGGCTGGCTTTCCAAATGTCATGAGAGGCCATCAGGGTTCACATCCGTGCGATGGGCTTTAGCCAGAGATCCGTGGAAGAATTCCTGGAATGTTTGGCGGTAGAATTTGAAGAACTGCTGATGGACGGGAGTGTGAGAGTGTGCTTAGCTTGTGTGTGGGGCATGGGGGGTTGTTGGGGTATGTGGGTGGTGTGTGGGGGATTGTGTTTTGGGGTGTTTACAAAGATAGGGAGTCTGGTGTAGGGAAACTGAACAGCATCTGCGTATTTCTGAGAAAGCCCTGAGAACTGGTGAGGCTGAGCAGAGGTGGTCAGGGGTGAGGACGGGGGGTGAGGGCGGAGAGCTCTCCAGCCTGGATAATTCATGGGAGGAGCCGCTAAGAGGTGAAAAGATGCTGAGATCTGGTTGAGTTTAAAATGCCTGAACTGCATCCAGATGGATGCACGCTGCTACATCCTCTGGTATAAGAGTTTCCACCCTTGGGAAAAGCAGTGATTATTGAAATGTTTGTTCATTTTATAGGACACACCATAAATACTTAGCTAATATGTGGCATCTGTTTCACTTAATAGTTTTGGTGCCTCCGTGATGGGCTAAGGGCACCAGTGGCCTTGACTCATTCACTTGATGTAGTGAAAGTACTTTGAATAAGCGTCACAGGAAGATCTTAGGCTGCCAACACGTCTTCCTTTCCAGGGCCGAGAACTGGAGTTTCCTGAAAGACTACGACCCCATGGTAAGGCAAAGCCCGCTCCCGCCCCGCACATCGTGCGGACATACTTGCTTACTCGGCGCATACGCGCCCAGGATGCTCTGCTGGATGCTGGGGGGAGAGGCAAGAAAATGCCTTCTTGTTCCAAGAAATTCGGGGTCTGGTGGGGAAGAAAATACGTATGGAGAGCACTTAGAAATTAAGCTTTCCCCATGTTTCGTGAATTTATTAAGATGAAACACCTGGAAGTGACGGGCATCTGCTGGTGAAAATTTCCCCCAGTGTGAGGATGTCAGCAGGGTGTAGCAGTGTGTCGTGTGCCCATATGCAGAATGGGTCCAGGTGAACATACTTTGTGAACTAATTCCCTGCCTCTAAAGTCACCACCTCCAATCCCATCCTCCACACTGCTACCAGAGTAATTTTCCCGAACTGCAAAACTGAGCCTCTCTCCCGCTTAAAAGCTTTCAATAAATGTGCATTTTCAGGGTGCCTCATATCGCTTCTAGGACCTGACCCTGCCTGCCTCCCCACCCTCCTTGCTCACCCCACACTGACATACATGCTCTCTTTTATCCATATCTTTGTGACTGATGTTCCCGTGTCTGAAATGCTCTTCCCACCTTGTCAACCTGATGGACTCCTATTTATCCTTCAAGACCCCGCTCAAAGACCTCCATCTGAGAAGTCTCCTCTTCTTGAGCAAATGTGACCAGGTCACTCTGCTCTTTACTCACCTGCAAACCTAAACCTTTCCTCTGACATAGCAAGTAATAGTGCAGTGATCAATTTCCCCAGGCTCTGGGCTCCCCAAGGAAAGGACAGAGATGGTTTCCTTACTGCAGCCCACTCCCCAGCTGTGCTGCACCCCTCAATCAATATTTAACACTCAGTTCATGTTGGATGAACGAGAAAATAGGAGAATGGGTCTTGCTGTAGGAAGAATGGTCGGAGAACCAACCTGGAAAATGAACAGGGTAACAAGTCCGCCTAGGCAGTAGCCATACTGATGTGGACCTTTTGAGGTTTAGGGAAGGTTTAACATCTGCATCCTGGCCTTGTGGGCTTGCTGTCTGCCCTGGAATAGAAAATTTAGTTCACGAGACCTGAAATCCTACACTGAGCTCCTGGGGCGGCTTTCAGCCCACACAGGGTGCCCCTGCCAAGGGCTCTGTGTCAGCAATCTGACGCTGAGACCTGTATCGCACCCAGTGGGGCCACGTCGGCACGGACTTACCCAGGTGAAAGCCAGGATCCTATTACTTAACTGGTTCTGGCACTCCTCTTTGACACAGGGCAGCGCAGGAACCCTGAACAAGGGCAGGGAGGGCTCATCAGATTATTCTCAGTTCACACATTCACTCACTCCTCCTCAGTCACAGCCGTCACCGGACAGCACGCACACGAGTGTTCACAGCAGCCCTCCTCATGAGCCCCCAAACCAGAAACAAACCCAAATGCTATCCATGGCCAAACAGAGCAACACTATGGCATATTCATGCGGGCCACACAGTGGATGCTGAGGGGCAAAGAGAGTGAACGAGCTACAAGCACACAGGGAAGCTGGGCGAATCATGCGCATGTGTTCCTGACGGAAAGGAGCCAGACAAGGACCCCGCGCCATCAGGATGAAGTTCAAAACCAGACGAAACTCCCTGCTGGTGTTAGAGGCCAAGGCTGGTGGCCTTGGGGTGGAGACGGGTTAATGAGGCAAGGCGTGGGCTCCTGCTCTGTTTCCTGGTCCAGGTGCCGCTGAGCAGGCGGCTCCCCCGGGGGGGGGGCGGGGGGAGGTCTGTTGAGCTGCTCAGGTGTGACTGACGGGCCAGAAACCACACCCTACGGCTGTTCCCCCGTGTGCCCCCCTGAGGCAGCACCCTAGGTCCTGGGGACAGAGAGCAGAACAAGGCTCTGGCCCTCCTTGGTCACGGGAGGTCAGGCACCAGGTCAGCGGGTGGGAACATGCCCGGGGGAGGATCCCCAGGCCAGGAGGACAGCCTGCCTCCCCTCCAGTGCCCAGGGCCCAGCTCCCCACTGGGTGCGGTCCCCGCTGAGGGTCCTGGTGTGCAGGCCTCCCTGGGTCCACGCGGCTGGTGACGGAGCTGTGCCCCCTCCTCAGGGCCGCAGGAAGGAGCCCGTGCAGCTGCCAGAGTGTGTGTCCCGCTTCTCTGACACGGTCCCCAATTCCACGAACCAGGTCGTGGGCAGCAGGCTGGACACGGCCCTGGGGAAAACCCTCATCGACATGGACTTCTTCTTTGTGGAAGGAGCCTGGAAGAAGAAGCTGGAGGAGGAGCTGCAGCCCGTGTAGACGGCGCGGCTGCCGGCTGCCCAGGTGGGTGCTGGAGCCCCCACTTATCAGTGGGCTCACAGTCCCCAAGCCCTGCACAGCTTTTGCAAGGCTCCACTGGCACACCTGCACCTATGGGACTTGGGGAACTCCCCTCAGGCCATGGGACACCCCCGTGGTGGGGACACCCTCTGGGGGCCCCAGGAGAGGGAGCCCTGCATGTGTCAGGAACACTGATGATGCGGTTCAAACCCTGCTCCTGGCTCTGAGCAACTGTGCACCCTTGGGCAGGTTGTTCAGACCCTTTGTGCTTCCATTTCCCCATCTGCAATGTGGTGTATTGCTGTTCTAACAAATGACCACAAAGGGAGGCTTCAAACATCTGTGTGTTACCTGAACAGGTCCGGAGGCCAGAAAGCCAAAGGAGGTCTCACTGAAGTCCAGGTGTTGGCAGGACAGTGTTCCTTGCTGGAGACCGGAGGAGTCTGGTCCTCATCTTCTCCAGCTTTGAGAGGCGGCCGACATTCCTCGGGCCCCCGGGCCCCTTCATCTTCCAGGGCAGCATGAAGGCATCTCCCTCCTCCATCTTTAAAGGACCCTTGTGATTGAGGACATTGGCCCACCCTGGCTGTCTAGGATCATCTCTCCACCTCACAGTCCTTTACTTAATCACATCTGCAAAGTCCTGTTGCGTGTAAGGTCACACATGCAGGTCCCGGGGATTCGGTCACAGATGTCTCTGCCTGCCTCGTAGAGGAATGATAATTGCACCAGTTATGTACGGTTGTTGTGAGGATCAAAGGAGCTACCATGTGTAATCGTTTAGAGCAGTGACTGGGACTCAGAATGAGGACGTATTTTTGCAGAGGACGCCGCTCTCTCAGGAGGGACATCCCTGCCCTGACGCAGGTACCCAGGGCAGGCGTGGGTCCCTTGGCCAAGGCGCCGAGGGGCTCTGCTCTCCCATCAGTGTCTCCATCTCTCGCACTCCCTGTGTGATGGTCAGGGTGGTCAGCGACAGGCTGGGGCTGAGCAGGGAGGAGCCTGTCTCCAAGGAACCTGTGATCTGTTTCTGTCCCAGGTCCTCTGTGCGGCGAGTGGACAGGGAGGTTTTGGGGCCTGGGCTCTGGCGGCAGCAGGGCACCTGGCATCTACGTGACACCTACGTGGGCAGTGCTGGCCCAGGGACTGGCAGGAAAGGGACGCGTGCTAAGTGTTGGTCTCCTGCCCCACCCCAAGGGTCATGCTGGTAGCTCATAAAACTTTACGGAGGACAGTCTGGCCCTTGTTGCCAAGCAAAAATGGCAACGAAGGCTTCTTCCTGTTTGCTGGTTAAAAAACAATGGGTCAGTTCTCTTCTTCCTGGGCACAGAGCTAGGCTGGGTTTCCCCTGTGATGTAGGCACAGGTGGGTGACCAGGCTGCGGCCAGTGGACCAGGAGCACAGTAGTGCTCCCCACCCCCAGGCCTGGCCACAGACCTCCTGTCCTCTTCTCTCCACCAGCGAGGACTTGCAGGGCAAGGGGGGACGGAGCACATGGGGAAGCAGTCAGGGACCAGAGGGGGTCCCGACTGAGACAGTGGAGCAGAGTTCTCCACAAGTCACACCGGCGCCAATGGGGGCCCGAGACAGACACTGCTGTGTTGAGGGAATTAACCGAACCCGAAGCAGCCACCTGCATTTCTGGCACGAAGCGTGTGCAGACAGGGGCAGTGCGTCCACACGGCACCAGCGACAGCAGAGGCTCCGAGTGCACACAAGCCTGAAGTATGAAGTGTAGTCAGCACTGAGCTGGGTCCTTGGTGGGACCCCAGCTGCAGCCTCCTGAAGAGACAGGAAATGGCCCCGGGAGCTGGCTGCTTTTTCTGACACCTGCTTAGGTTTTATTCTGCTTTTCAACTAAGCCTATGTCATCGTGATGCCTATAAACTCCTTTAATCCTCTCAGGAACCTTAGAGATGGGTATTATCATGCCCTACAGTTGAAGCAACTGAGGCACAAAGAGGTTAAATCACTTGCCCTATGTCACACAGCTGGTAAGTGGAAAAGCTGCTTACTTCCAGAGACTATATGGCTCCTGAGATTATGCTCAAATATTATGCTTTATTGGACCCCTCCAATCCTCAGAAAATTAGGTCCCAAATATTGAGCAAATTACAGGGTTCTTCTGCTTAAAGAATCTGTGTCCTCGGGAAAGGGGAAACCGGTTTTTCCCAACTCCTGGATCCACCCCCACCAAGAGTAATTATTTCCTCCCCACAGAGCCCGCCTGAGGTCCCTACTAACCCTGGGCCCCTGCCTTGTGTGATGGATCAAACCGGGCCTGCTTGTGACCCAGCTGGGTAGAGGCGAGGGCACGCACCGTGGGCCACAGCCCTTCATACCTGGATCTGGAGGCAGTGGCACTCTTCTTCAGAGTCTAAGTTGGAAGCTTGGCTCCCTGTCCCTCCTGAGATCGTGTGCCTGGGCCAAAGTCAGTTGTCAGTACAGCCAGGGTCAAAATCACATCTCGGAGGCATCACAGGCAGGCCTACCCTTGGACTTGGTTGGTACAAAGACATCTGCTGATGGCTCCTTAAAGACTCGATCTATGTTTTTGACATGAGCATGGCCCGTTTTATTTTTACCCCAAGAAAAATAAGTTATCTCCATTTGAGTGGGAGGGGGAAGCAGGAGGTATGCTGGGAACTCCCAGGGAGTAGGAGCGGTCAAGGTCAAACGTGCGTGCAGGAGGCCAAGCCCAAGCAGCCTGGAGGGAATCACCCAGAGCTCAGAGGCAGCCCACACCTCTGCCACGCTCCCTGCAGCCTTGGTCCTCGCTGCCGGCTCTTGGCCCTGCATCTGGACACCCCTTCTCCCCCAGGCCCAATGCTCTCCAGCAATTCCGTCTCCTTTCTGGCTGCTCCTGAGCACCGGGCGTCGGAGTGACAGAGCTCTCAGAGCTGACGGAAGTGCAACAGGAAACCAGGGCTGAGCTAGCACCAATTTCAGACAAAACTCCCACGGAACCTGCGGCAATGGCCTCAGTCTTTGACCTCCAGCCCTGACACAAAACACATCTGAGTGACTGCTCTTTGACTAGACTCATCCTGCGTGATTTCTGCTACCCTCAACCATCAGGAGTAACAGAAATGGCGCCTTCTGCCCAAAGCACCTGGGGCCTGGCGGGCAGTGCTGTGTGCTGAGGGTGTGACTGTGTGAAGCCCCTGGTCTTGCCTGTTGGCCAACAGTGAGCATGAGGGCAGCGGATGCCCAGGCAGTCAGGCTTCTCATGTGACCCAGCTCCTGCCAAGCAGAAGTGACCCTGGAGAAGGCAGAAGGCATAACCCCAGGACCCTCCTGGAAGCACAGAGACACAGCAGCTGGTCCTTCTGGGCCTGCTGGGCCAGTGCCGTGTGGGGTTCCCCAGCTCCAAGAGCAGGGCCACAGCTCCCCTCCTGGCAGATCTTCAGCCAGGCTCTGTGAGGTGTCCCACAGAGACCCCTCCTAACACTGGCTCCCCTGTCCTTCCAGTGATGGGGCACAGTGCCCAATGCCTCACAATAATAATGATGCTAACTGAAGAGGAAGGTTCTGTGGGTTGTGATGGAACACTCACTGGCAGAGAACTTCCACACCCCTCAGAGTTCCAGAACATTCTGCTGTCTCCTGGGACCCTGTCTGGGAGGCTCACCCAGGACTCACTTTGAGTTTCATAGAGAGCGACCTCCCAAGCATGCAGATCTGTGATCCAAAGAGCGATGTTGACTCTTTCATTCCCAAGGGCTGGGGTGAAAGTTGGGGGGCCCACTCTTGAGGCCACTTGATTTTTATAAGATGATGCAGCAGGCTCTTCAGTGCAGCCAGTTATATGGAAAACGCTCCTGAGCTGAGTCACGACGCCGTCTTTGTAGAGTAGCTGCCCTTTAAATTGGTTTCAGGGAATGGTATTTCAAACTGACTGTGGTCCATTATGCAGGTAGCAAGAATTTGGCCCAATCAGTACTTATGAAGGAGCCCCACTAGGCAACAGAGGCGTTTCCCTGGGTCCTCCAGCCAGTGCTTCCAGCTTAGTGTGTGCGCAATCCAGGGTTTTGTGAAAAGGAAGATTTTGGTTCAGCATGTGCATGTGTGATATATGTAATGTATACTGGTGTATGTATATGTGACACACACATATATGAATATGTATATATGTATATGCACATGAGTGTGTGTGTGTGTATATAGGTATGAAAATAAATCAATAAATGTACATATAGGACAGAGCAGTGTCTCCCCAAATTCACATGTTGAAGCTCTAACCCCCAATGTGACTATATTTGGAGGTAGGGCCTTTAAAGAGGTAATTATGGTTAAATGAGTCACAATTACGGGGCCCCAATCCAATAGGGCTGATGTCCTTATAAGAAGAGGGAGAGCCACCAGGAATGTGTGCCCACAGAGAAAAGGCCACGTGAGGGCACAGGTTGAAGGCCACCGTCTATAAGCCAAGGAGAGCGGTCTCGTCAGAAACCAACCCTGCTGGCACTCTGGGCTTCTAGCTTCCAGAACTGGGTGAGAAAATAAATTTCTATTGTTTAAGGGGCCAGTGTGGTATTTTGTTAAAGCAGCCCAAGCAGATTAATACACACACACACACACACACACACACACACACACACACGCGCGCGCGCTTTGTTTTCCTCCTAAAGGTTTCCTCCTGAACATCCTGTTCTCCTTTAGCCTTGAAGGGGAAGGCATCATACCTTCCCGGCTTTTCCAGAGGAAGAGGACGGCGGCCCGGTGAGGGTTGGAGGAGCACAGGAGGGAGGACGAAGCAGCAGAAGGAAAGCCTCTACTGTCCGGCTGAGGGTCACAGCGCAGAACCTGCCGTCCTGAACGCTCGCACTGCACTGTTGTGTCTGCCTGCTTCGTAATCTGGATTTAGTACCTGTACGATTTGGGGAGCTTGGAAAATGCGCCCAACCCCTCATTTTGTGCCTCCTTTAAATTACTTTGTTTTAGCAACAGAAATCTGTTTTACCTCAAGAAAATAGTTCATTCTTCAGTGCTGAAGCGGGGTTAAGGCCCCAGCCCCCAGGAAGCGAGCTTCCGGCGTTGGCAAGGAGCACCCCGCTCAGCCGGGGGAGAGGGCAGGAAACGAGAGGACCCTGGCGTTCGGGCTTGTTTCCCCGTGTGCACAAGGAGGACGCGGGTAAACCAAGTTGGGTTGTTGAGGCCGTTATGTTTCAATCTCTGAAATGCTTAATGATAAAAACAAACCAAGAAAAACACTTATAGGGATTGAAAAATCCCAACAATGTTCCATTGCCCCGCGAGGGGTGCCCTCCCAGGGTTTAGTCTGTACCCACCCAACCTGGACGAGAACGGGACTGTCTGTGCGTCTCCCGGCGACTCAGAACTGCACGCGTGGGTTCAACACGGGAAAGTGAATCAGCAGCGAGGGTCCAGGCTGCTCGGGCTGGGCGGCCCCAGCTTGGGACCAGGTCGGACCTGGGGCAGGGCAGGGCGGGGCGGCCTGAGATGGGGAGCCGACCCCGGCCGGCGGGCGGGACGCGTCCGGGGCGGGGACCCGGGCGGAGAGCGGACTCCGACAGGGCGGACCCCGGGGGCGGGCCCGGGCGGGGCGGGCCGGGAAGGCGGAAGGCCTCGGCCGGCGCGAAGGCCGACCGCTGCGTGGCTGCTCCGGCGCCGCTGTGGGATCCACCGGCCCCGCGACCCCAGCCCGCGGCGCCATGGCTTCGCAGCTGCTGTGGATCTGCAACTGGAGCACGCTGGGCGTGTGCGCGGCGCTCAAGCTGCCGCAGATCTCCTCCGTGCTGGCGGCGCGCAGCGCGCGGGGCATCAGCCTCCCGAGCTTGCTGCTGGAGCTGGCGGGGTAAGGCCGTGCGGCGGGCAGCCCTCTCCCCCCGGCCTCTGCGGCCTGAGGGGTCTGGGAGCCCCCGGAGAGCCCCGGCTCTCCCCACCGAGGGGCGGGGAGCCGAGCGGACTGCGCTGGGAGCGGCGCCCGCCTCCCCCGCGCTCTGCGGCTCCCCGAGCGTGTGTGGTTACGGAGTGACCGCGCACGCCCATTCTACAGATAAGGAAAGCGACCCCCAGAGACCCCCATCCGCCGGTTGGTGACACAACCCGCCATCCGGCTTCGAGGAGGCCCCCTGCACCTGCCGCTCTCGTGCACATCCGGCCTGAGGCCGCCCCCGCCGTCACCGCCTCTCTCAGGGCTCGGTGTCCTCACCTGCAAGATGACGGCTTGGACTTGAATTCTCAGGACCCTCTGTCTTGAAAGCTGCGCGTTTGTGGGGTGGAGAGGTTGCTCAGCTAGGGGAGCTCTTTGTGGGGCGGGGGTGGTGCTTGAATCTGCGCAGGGAAAAGGGGCCGGGGTCGGACAGGCAGGGAGGAGCCAGGCTGCTCCAAGAGTGCGCTTATCCACTGGAAACCCCGAGTGGTGCCCCGACGCAGTATTTAAAGATCTAAACGCGGAAGGCAGAGTTGTATAACTTAGTAGGGAAGACTCGAATTCCTGGGAAAACAGAGGACACGGGAAACCGAGCGCCCCGCCAGCCGGGCCCCCGTTGTCACCGGCAGCTCCGAGGGCCGCTCCTCGGCAGAGGCACCGCCGGCAGGGGCAGCTCAGTTGGCTCACCCCGGGATCGGGGGTAGCAGGGAGCCGGGGTGAGGGCTGGGGGTGGGGGTAGTGTGAGACCTCGGCCGGGTGGGGTGGGGTGCTCCCGGGTGCGCGCAGCTGAGAAGCGTCGTCGGGAAGGCTCGCCCCTCCGTCCCCGGGGTGTGTGAGCCCCGCGGGCTGTGTCTGGCCCTGCGCAGTGGGGCCGCCCGCTGGATGGCGAGGTTTGAGAGTTAGGAACGGGCCCCGCCCCGGGATGAGGGAGGCCGACAGCTCCGGCAGCGGTGCTTGCTCGAGCTGGGGAGAGGATGAGTTGGCCGGGGCGGGGGTGTGGGGGGGTGCTGCGGAAGGCCGCGCAAAGGGGGCTGAGCTGGAAGGGGCCGCGCGCAGGGTGAGCGCAGGTGCCTGTAGAGTCGCGGCGCCCACCTCGTGCAACTTGTCGGCAGGCTGTGCCCGCGTCCGCTCACTCTAATAGCCCACCTTAGCAAAGCCAGCCCTCCGCAGGGCGGGGGAGGCGGCCTAGGGGTCCTGCAGGGGTCACAGTGCGGGCAGAGGCCGCCGGTCGGCCGGCCCCCTGCCCCCAGCGCCGCGGAGAGCCAGAGCCAGGTCCACGCCCTACTGCCGCCACCCTCTCCCGGAAGCCCCCTGGAAGTGGGCACGGCACCCTCCACTGGACTCCTATGCCTTCTGGGCCCACCTCGGGCAGTAGTTTATCACAGGGTTTCTCATGAGCTCGCTCTGTGTTGCCCCTGTGCCGTCTAAGCATCATCTCATGCACTCCTGACAGCCCGAGAGAACCGCTTTTCTCTCCAGACAGTAGGAACCTTAGGCCAGGGAGGTGAGCGCCTTGCCCAAGTTCACGCAGCGGCACCACTCCTGGCTGCCCACCCTCCCTGGGTCTTGCAGTTTTCTAGGCTCATCTACAATATTGTGGGTGGGGGAGGGGTTGGCGGGTACCTTACCCTGTTCCCCTTCTCCCTCCTCCAGCCTACTCTGGTGAGGGCCAGCCGGCTGGGGACGCTGGCCCCCCACCTCCCATCCATCCTGTGACCCTCCTCCCCGCAGCCCAGTTCAGCGGGGCCAGGAGCGGATGGGGCACGGCCCCTGGCCGCATCGGCACACGCCCTCCTAGCTTGGGCCAGGAGGGCTGTTAGGTCCGGATGAAGGGCGGGCACTCTGACCCACCCCTGGGAGGACCGGAGGTGCGGGGGCCTCACAGCCGGCGCGAGGAGACAGCGGGTGGTTCAGGTCTGAGCCGCTGACGGGCTGGGGTGTGTGCGCCGGGAAGCCAGGAAGCTTGGCCTCTTCTCCCGAGAAGGGTGGGATCCTGAGGTCTTTACCCACCCCCTGCCCCCATCCCCATCCTCTTCAGGGCTGGAATTTCCTTAAAGGAACTGAAGGTTGCTCTTCATGCCTTCCCAGCACTGCCCCCTCCTCAGCTGGGCGGCACTCCGGAAGGCCACCGGGATCGTCCGGGTGATGTCCTCCCTCCTCAGAGCCCGGGCTCGGCTCACTGCGGTGCCCAGACAGGCCCAGCCGTAGGAGCCCCGCCTCCGACCTCCGCCGGGGGTGGCACACAGCTCCTCGATGTCTCTGCTGGCTGTGCAGTTCTGGTGTGTGACCTTCCAAGGCGGCTGCTGGTGCCACTGCCTGAGACCCAGGCTTCAGGGGCAGGTGCACGTGGGTGCAGAAGCCCTTTCTCTTCTAATCCTGGTGGTGTGGTTTGTCCCCCAAAAAAGTCGTTTATAAGTGACCACCATAAGGGACTTGTATATATGTCCAGCCAGTACTGGTTGCTCCAAAAATCCTGGAGATAATTAGATGAACGTTGCATCCTTTTTGGTCTGAATCCCCTTCCTTGACGTTTGCACGCTCCAACGACAAGTTCCGGGCTTCACTGATGAGCCTGTGCTCCCGGGTGCTGGCCGGCCTCCCCGCTCTGTGCTCAGCGCGCTTCTCTCTGCAGGTTCCTGGTGTTCCTCCGGTACCAGTGTTACTATGAGTACCCGCTGCTCACCTACCTGGAGTTCCCCATTCTCATTGCACAAGGTAAGCAGGCCACCCCTCTGAGCCCTCTGCCCAAGGGCGGCCCTCGGCTTCCCTCACCCCGGGCCTTTCCCTTTCAGACGTCATTCTCCTGCTGTGTGTCTTCCATTTCAACGGGAACGTGAAGCGGGCAGCTCCATACATAGCCCTGTATCCTTACAGCATCTACGAATCAGAGAGGGGACTGGGTGCCCCTTGCTAATAGTATGCATCATCAAGAAGAGTCTTTTACCAGATATGTGGTCCTTTGTTAAACTTAAAAAGAAACCGAAATGCAAGACTCCGTGTGAGCAAATACATCTTCTCAACCCAGTGCACCCAGTGCAGTGCAGTCCCTGCCTGGTGGCCTCCCCTGAAAGACTAGGGCATCCCGGTGTGCCCACAGACCAAGCGGGACTGAGATTAGCACATCCCTGCTGAGCGTGCTCAGCTACAGAAGCACCCCTGCTAAAAGTGACATCCATCCACCTTGATTCTTGAACCAAAGGGAGACATTTCTTTCTTCCCCAAAGATGTCCCCAAAGTATAAACACAATGCCACTAACACCGCTGGCCAGTGGGCTTGCCGCCGCGGGGTGGGGGGTGGGGCGGGCCCCGGATGGCTTGTTCAGAGTGAAGACACCGGGCGGATCACAGTGGTCGTCAACACAGAGATAGCCCCACTTACCCCGCACCTTCTGTGAACCAGGGCAAGCTTTCATTTCAATTCTCTTTGTAAAAACTGTTATTCTCTTGTTGAACTTCACACTCCTTAAAAGGCCAGGAAATTCTTTTGTGTGGCTGTTGGTTAATCCACCCACTCGTGTGAACTGATCTGAGCTGTTTACTTACACATTCTCAGGGTGGAGGAAAGAAGGACGCCAGAGGCCGCCTGCCCCAGTGCTGTGGGGATATGGGGCGTGGGAAGCAGCCGCAGCCCCACTACTTGGGCAGGCCTTGCACATGGGCCATGAACTCTCCGAGCTCTGTCTGTGAAATGGGATAGAATGCCTACCTTTTAGAGTAGTTGCAAGAACTGAAGTCCCAGGAGCCCAGGAGAAGATGAGCAAGTGGCCGAGTGCAGAGTCATCGTGGCTGTCACTAGAAGCCTGTCTGGGAACTTGTGGATTCAGTCCTGACCCTCTGCTGTTTGATTGAGTTATAAGCCCCCTGACTCAGGTTCCATCTAGAAAAAGAGGGATTGCATGGGTCTGCTTTCCTTCCCACATCCAGGTTAGTCCCAGCTGGTTACAGAGTGCTTGAGGGATGAAAAGCATTGTGTGATTCACTTTGTAAATAAAATGCAACAACTTATCTGCAGATGGTGAGGCTGTAGGTTAGGAAATGCTGGTGTTGGTGGCACCTCTGTGGCATCAGCCAGATGTTTCTGACTCGCTCCTGTCAGTTGTGATGTGGGAGAGCAAAAAAGTAGGGTGCCGTATTACCATTGAATTTTTCTTTTAGCAGAGTATTTCCTAAATATTGCACAGGACATTCTTCTATTATGGAATTATTTGTTAATTCACCTGAATCTATAAGTGGGTGTCCTGTATTTTTATTTGCTAAATCTGGCAACCCTACCAAAAAAGTCATCTCTAGGACTTCAGAAGCTGCTACTACTGGTCAAGTTTTATAAAATGTGTATTTGGAATGAATAGAGTGAGGTACAGTGGTACAAAAGTGGGTATAATTAATTTTGAAAATTGAATTAGGGAGTTCTAAAAACAAGCTTTCATCTACCTAGATTCAGGCTGCCTCTCTAATGTTGACCAGGTTGCTGGTATTTAGTTCTGACTTTGAGTACAGGGCTTATCTATATCAATCCTTCATTTAAATACTGTCATTAACTAGTGGGTTAGGTCCCTACAATGTGCCACAAGGCCTTGAGGAAGTAGAAAGGGCCAAGGTCCATTTAAATCCATACTAAAAGGTCCATAGTAAGTCCACTTTGCAGATAAGCAAACCAAGGGCAAGAGAAGAAAAGTTACTTTCCCAAGGTCACAGCAGAGGCTCCTAGCTGTCCCCTCACTGACCTGGCCACCCCCTCTCCTGAGTTTGTCTCAGCTTCTCCAGCTGGGCTTTCTATTCTCGCAACATCGCTGAGCTTGATGAAAATCAAGTATCATTCCTCCTGTCCCCTAGCAGTGCTCACGCCAGCTGTAGCATTTTCACACCGTAGTGGGAAAGGGACAAATCAGTAAACAGTGTCATGTGACACTGGCTTTGCAGAACACACCTACTCTGTAATGTGGGACCTCTCTCTGAAGAGCTTTGACATTGCATTTGAGATGTCTGTAAGGTCAGGAATAGTTAAAATCATCCGCACTTTTTCCAACTCTAGGAAGAGTCCACAGACACAGGGCTTTTTGTAATTTTCTTCCATAATCTGCTTCGGTTTTTTTGGGCTCCTAGCAGGTGTTCACTTAAACTGTTTTGGTCTTTTCCTAATCTGACAAGTTCTGGCAGAGCCATTCCCAAGCTGACTTACATGTGTAACCTCTGCGGTCTCGGTGTGTTTCCAGAAGTTCGGGGCTGGGGTGGGGAGGATGGGGTGTTGCTGACAGCCGAGCCACTCCCTTAGCACTTGGTAAGATTGGTGTCTTCGTGGTTTGTGCTCACCCTGCAGAAGTGGATCATAGATCTGGCCCTGGTAAGTAAATTACCCCTTGAAAAGAAAGTGTGTGAAACAGCAGTCTGTCTGTCCCCCTTCTCCATGCCACCTGCCCTGCAAAGAACTTTATAGATCAAATGCTTAACCTGCTAACTTTTCAGCTGTACCAAAGGACCGTGGCATGAAAGTGAGTGCTATCCAAATAGCAAAAGACATCATTCTCACTTAAATGTATGGGTTTTTTTCCTTACTTCCTTTTTTGGGGGCCCATAGAGACTAGATTGGGGAAGTGGTCAGTAGCTGAATGCAGAACTGAGTGTAAGTTCAAGAGCTTCTTATCAGGTATGTAATTACATACTGGCCACCACATACTCCCTCTTTTTCTAACTTTGCCCCACCAACATTTATCCCTCCTTGGAAAAGGCTTAGCTCTATATTTTTTTCTTTCCTTGGGTAAGGGCCAGAAATTCCCGAGCCGTGAGAGGAGGATTCTGATGGTGGGTCAGGAAGCGTGTGACCACAGATTTTCTCTCCAAGGTGGCAAAGTAAACGCCAACCAGTGGAAAAAGAGCTGACTGCGATTCACCAGGCACTGCCTACTACCCAAACTCATGACTTTTGCCCCTTCTGGGCACCCTCCCCAGTGTCTCGTCTGTGACCCTTTTTTGGAAAGTGGACTTAACTCCTAGTTACCTTTCAACCTTGTGATGTGCAGAGCAAATAAGCCGTATTGCCATAATAACAAGTAATTCTTTAGAATATCCATGTCCCCAACATTTCACAGGACATACTTACGCTAAAAAATTATTTGTTGCTGATCTGAAATTTACTTTTGTCTGGGTGTACTGTATTTTTATTTGCTAAATCTGGTAACCCTACAAAGAAGTCACCTCTCGGATCTCAGCAGCAGCAGCTGCTGCTGGTCGAATCGGTACGGTTCTGGTTAGTTGGGGTGCTGAGGCCATCGTGAGCCTCCCCCTGAGGAACTCCATCCCAGGACTCCGGGGTTCCAGGCTTATCAGGAATAGGGTGCAGGGTCAAAGGCTGCAGGGTTTTTGTCTCTTTCGTGTCCACCTTCTCAGTGAATGCTCTAGTCTAACCCACACTGATACTCCAATGGATCATAAAGTATAGCTTGTTTCCCTCACGAACCACAGCCTGCATGCCGGGCTCTGGGCTGTCGCTGTCCGCAATGTGTGTCCTGGTGCCTATCTGTAGTGGGCACTGGGGCCTCAGCGACAAGGTGGCTGGCTGAACGATCACAAAGCTGCAGAGAGAATGTTTGGGCCTCAGAGCTCACAAGGGGGGCAGAAAACCCTAGGGTCATCTTGGGGAGGGGTGCTGTTTCAGTTCATGAAAAACTCACATTATTGGAGGTGTACAGGTCTGTCACTTTCAAAAGCAAGTGCCAGTTGAGATGGATGAAGCGTTTCCATGCAACTGGTAATTCACATACTCATATAGTTTATTCACAAAAAGATAGGCTTAAAGTACTTTAAAGTGATTCCTGGGACAGTCTAAGCTCCCTTCTTCTTTCCGGTCCTGTTCTGTGCTTTGGAAAAATCTAACAGTCTGCAGTTGAATGGGTATAATGAGATTGCCCAGGCCTTGATTATGCCCCCAAAGAAAACTCCTTCCTGATTCCAGAGATGGCATTTTCTCCCAGAAGCCAGATTGCGTGGAGAACTTAGCGGGCACTGTTAGGATAACCATTCAGCCAAGCCTACCACAGTGCAGGCTGTGCCCAGGGCACGTGTGAGCAGAGCCCTGCCTAAACCCCTGTGTGCAGACTTTCTGACCTCCAATTCCTGTGCCCCTTGGTCCTGACCCACTCCCACTGGCGGTGCCGCCCTGGGTCCAGTGGCCCTCAGAAGCTGTTTCCCCTGAGTCTGCCCCGCCTCAGTCACCCAGGTCACCTGAACTGCACAAGAGCCTTTTCGCTCACAGGCCTCCTGGCTGGCGGCTGGCGGGGCCCTGCACAGGGTGGAGGGCGCTGCAGAGCAGCGGACTAACTCGACAAGGCTTCTGACCTTGCAGGGCAGCAGAGGGCCTGAGTGCCTCAGCAAGGGACACAGGAGAATGGCCAAAGGTTCAGGGCTGAACCTCTGGGGGCTGCTTTGAGTTGTGGCTTTCCCCACACGCTGACACTGCACCTGTGTATTTCTCCCTTTTGGCAGGTGGGGGAGCTAGGCCTGACCAGGCAGTCATTCTTACTCTCAACCTCAAACTAGCTGCTGCCGTGCTATCTCTAACAGTGGAATCGGTGTGTTATAAACGTCTCACTGTTGCATTCTTTTTCACTAAACTTGGGTTTTGACCTTGTACGAATTCGTTATTACTTGACCTGAATATTTGGCTTCAAGGCGCTTTCACTATCTGGTGCTCTTTTGTTTTAACTGAGAGATTCTAACTTTCTTCTGTTGTGTGTGCAAACAGCATTTATGTACTTTCATCAGTGCGGCCAGTAAGTTCGCTCAGCTCCAATACTTGTGGAGGACCGCGGACTCGGGAGCTGTGAGCGCACTGACATGGAGCCTCGCTTCCTACACCTGTGCGGGTAAGAACTTGACTCTAGTGGCCGGGTGTCCTTTGTGGGCTTCAGGTGTCTATCCAGAAGTGTGCTAACTTGGAGTCCAGGTGTGAGTCCCTTGAGCTTTACTCCTTTGCAAATAGCTCTTCAGATAGACTCTCCTAGTGGATCCATATTTACAAGGCTGATGTAATAGACCACTCTCCATGCAAGATCCATATTCCAGTTGCTAAAAAAAGTGAAAGCTCCAAAATCTGGCCTAGTAAGTCTTCCTTGTTCTTTGAAAAAGCATCAAGAACTTGATTACACTGAACCCACTAACTTGTTTTGAAAATATGAATCTTTATGATGTAATGGATTGAGATGAAAATCACACATTGACTTTGAGAATGAATATAACTTATAATAGTGGAGTTTTCTGAAGCCATATTATTTGGTCTTAAGAATTCCCATTGTTCATTTGGGACTATCTAAAATACATATATGCCATATTAGGTAGAAACATTAAAAAAATTCAGAGCCAATCACATTAGATTTTCTAGTTTTAGGTATTAGAATTACACCTCTTCATGTTCCTTCTACATCTTAAGGGACCAATTTCTCCACTCAGGGTTGCTGGTAGGGGTCTTTATGTCCAAAGTTATTTAAAAGTGAGATTTCTTGTGTTTATTTTTAGCTTTAAAATGTTTAAGTGTTTTTGGGTAATATGATTTCTGGAATTGCTGATCAGATAAAATTTACTTATTAGCACCTTAATTTTATCTTCTGGTAATTTCATCCTTAAATGATGCTTATTAAATTTTCTTTTAGGAAATCTTAAGAACTTGTAACTGCAGGGACCGTGTATTACATTTCAATCTATTTTGCATGCTGTGCACATGAGTATTTGTTGAATGGATGATAAACTGAGATTTGTAATTTTATGGGAAACAATGTACATCTGGCTTCCCTTTTTGATAGACGAGTCAACAACTTCAGTACTGACTTAGAAATGAATGAAGTGTGCATTTGTAGCACTTACCCTAATTTCCTTCGGTCTCTACTGCCCAGTTCACTTTGGAACTGAGCACTACCATGTAGCATTTATTAAGCCTTTTTAAGAATTTGAGCATCCCTTAGCTACCTTCCTAAATGGATGGAGTCTTCTCTCCATCTACTTAAGACCCAACACTTCCATTTATTTGCTAATCAGGTATTCACATGTGTGTTTAAAGCCTTGGTATCAAAATTGGAAATGGAATATTTCCAATTTGGTCTCTGCCTTTGAGGGTTTAGTTTACTTGGAAGGGAAAATCAAAAAGCTACCATGCCAATACACACTAAGCGCAGTGTTAGGCAGAGGGAGCTTCCCGTGGGCGGTTCGGGCAAGAGAGGCAGGCTTGTTTAAAGGGAGGGGTGCCCTCCAGCCGTCCGCACCTGCACTGTGTCAGCCCTACGGGTACCCTGGCTTCTTAAGAGTTTGCCAAGTGAAATGCTATACGAGAAAAATTGAACTGAACAGTACTAGTTAGACCCTGGGAAACTTTGCCTTCTGGGCCTGGGTTTTATCAGTATAATATCTATAAAACAAAGAGGTAGAGTTGAGTGATTTAAAAACATTGTTGTTTTACATTTAATTGTTGTAGTGGGAGACTTACTTCAAATGAAACCTTACCAGAAGCTCCATACGGAAATGAGATTTTCACAAGTTGCTTTTTGGGGTGGCGGACTTGTGACTTGTGGGTAGGCCTGTCAGTGGAAGGGGCCCTGCCCTCACTGGGCAGCACTGAAATACCTTCTAGGAAGAAGTTCATTTATGAGCAGCTTCAAAACCCCTGGGCTAGGTAGGCCTCATGGCTGGATTTCAGATGTTTTATGAGATGCAGAACAATTTAGTATCCTCTACTACCAAAATCTTTCAAGAACGGCCGGCATATATTCCTATATTTAACATGGAGAGACATTAGCTAAGTACTGTCTGAGAAGTTGACATTTATTGCTGAATTTTTTCTTACAGCAAGAATAGTAACGACTTTAATGACCACCAGTGATCTTACAAGTAAGCAAAATATTTTTGTGCTCACTTCCCTCTGAATTTTATGCCATTTGTGTCCTTCATCTGTAAGTTGTCTTGCGGTTTAACAGATCAATTTGGCTCTACTGGGTTCTAAATTTAGAGGCCAGCAACAATACATTCCTGGTCTTCATCTATCACCATTCACTAGGAAGCATCTACTTCATGTAGTACCTGGTGGAGCTGTGAGCGCACTGACATGGAGCCTCGCTTCCTACACCTGTGCGGGTAAGAACTTGACTCTAGTGGCCGGGTGTCCTTTGTGGGCTTCAGGTGTCTATCCAGAAGTGTGCTAACTTGGAGTCCAGGTGTGAGTCCCTTGAGCTTTACTCCTTTGCAAATAGCTCTTCAGATAGACTCTCCTAGTGGATCCATATTTACAAGGCTGATGTAATAGACCACTCTCCATGCAAGATCCATATTCCAGTTGCTAAAAAAAGTGAAAGCTCCAAAATCTGGCCTAGTAAGTCTTCCTTGTTCTTTGAAAAAGCATCAAGAACTTGATTACACTGAACCCACTAACTTGTTTTGAAAATATGAATCTTTATGATGTAATGGATTGAGATGAAAATCACACATTGACTTTGAGAATGAATATAACTTATAATAGTGGAGTTTTCTGAAGCCATATTATTTGGTCTTAAGAATTCCCATTGTTCATTTGGGACTATCTAAAATACATATATGCCATATTAGGTAGAAACATTAAAAAAATTCAGAGCCAATCACATTAGATTTTCTAGTTTTAGGTATTAGAATTACACCTCTTCATGTTCCTTCTACATCTTAAGGGACCAATTTCTCCACTCAGGGTTGCTGGTAGGGGTCTTTATGTCCAAAGTTATTTAAAAGTGAGATTTCTTGTGTTTATTTTTAGCTTTAAAATGTTTAAGTGTTTTTGGGTAATATGATTTCTGGAATTGCTGATCAGATAAAATTTACTTATTAGCACCTTAATTTTATCTTCTGGTAATTTCATCCTTAAATGATGCTTATTAAATTTTCTTTTAGGAAATCTTAAGAACTTGTAACTGCAGGGACCGTGTATTACATTTCAATCTATTTTGCATGCTGTGCACATGAGTATTTGTTGAATGGATGATAAACTGAGATTTGTAATTTTATGGGAAACAATGTACATCTGGCTTCCCTTTTTGATAGACGAGTCAACAACTTCAGTACTGACTTAGAAATGAATGAAGTGTGCATTTGTAGCACTTACCCTAATTTCCTTCGGTCTCTACTGCCCAGTTCACTTTGGAACTGAGCACTACCATGTAGCATTTATTAAGCCTTTTTAAGAATTTGAGCATCCCTTAGCTACCTTCCTAAATGGATGGAGTCTTCTCTCCATCTACTTAAGACCCAACACTTCCATTTATTTGCTAATCAGGTATTCACATGTGTGTTTAAAGCCTTGGTATCAAAATTGGAAATGGAATATTTCCAATTTGGTCTCTGCCTTTGAGGGTTTAGTTTACTTGGAAGGGAAAATCAAAAAGCTACCATGCCAATACACACTAAGCGCAGTGTTAGGCAGAGGGAGCTTCCCATGGGCGGTTCGGGCAAGAGAGGCAGGCTTGTTTAAAGGGAGGGGTGCCCTCCAGCCGTCCGCACCTGCACTGTGTCAGCCCTACGGGTACCCTGGCTTCTTAAGAGTTTGCCAAGTGAAATGCTATACGAGAAAAATTGAACTGAACAGTACTAGTTAGACCCTGGGAAACTTTGCCTTCTGGGCCTGGGTTTTATCAGTATAATATCTATAAAACAAAGAGGTAGAGTTGAGTGATTTAAAAACATTGTTGTTTTACATTTAATTGTTGTAGTGGGAGACTTACTTCAAATGAAACCTTACCAGAAGCTCCATACGGAAATGAGATTTTCACAAGTTGCTTTTTGGGGTGGCGGACTTGTGACTTGTGGGTAGGCCTGTCAGTGGAAGGGGCCCTGCCCTCACTGGGCAGCACTGAAATACCTTCTAGGAAGAAGTTCATTTATGAGCAGCTTCAAAACCCCTGGGCTAGGTAGGCCGCATGGCTGGATTTCAGATGTTTTATGAGATGCAGAACAATTTAGTATCCTCTACTACCAAAATCTTTCAAGAACGGCCGGCATATATTCCTATATTTAACATGGAGAGACATTAGCTAAGTACTGTCTGAGAAGTTGACATTTATTGCTGAATTTTTTCTTACAGCAAGAATAGTAACGACTTTAATGACCACCAGTGATCTTACAAGTAAGCAAAATATTTTTGTGCTCACTTCCCTCTGAATTTTATGCCATTTGTGTCCTTCATCTGTAAGTTGTCTTGCGGTTTAACAGATCAATTTGGCTCTACTGGGTTCTAAATTTAGAGGCCAGCAACAATACATTCCTGGTCTTCATCTATCACCATTCACTAGGAAGCATCTACTTCATGTAGTACCTGGAATGAAATATGCACAAGATAGTATATTCCTCTTTGTAGAGCTTCTACTCCAATAGTGGGAATGGACAGTTATCACACAATTAACTACTGGAAAATATTGTGAAAGATTTTGAAAGAGTAGGACAGGATGGGCAACTAACAGGGAAAGAGGGGCTAGCTGGAGGAACTAAGATAAATTTGAGGAAGAGTGAGATTTGGAGGTGGCGAAGAGACTGCTGAAAGGAGCATAGGTATAAAGGTCATAAGCAGAGAGGAGGCGTGGCTTCACAGCAGAGAGTACCCATGGGGCTGGAGGGAGAGTGGGGAGTCAGTCTAATGAGAGGGGAGGCAGTGGCAGTGGCCAAAGTGGTCCAGAGCCTTAAAACTGCCCATAAGTGGTAGAGGGGCTTTTTTAAGTAGGGGAGTAACATAGTAATTTGACTCCATGTCTTGTTCTATTTTTTCAAGAAGAGATACTATGATGGAGAAAATACATGGGTAAACCTAAAAGGAATTTAGCAATTCCTTAGGCTGAATTTTCAACTCCCAAATCAAGCATGCACATTGGAAAATGATTAGAACAGGCAGTGTCACCTCTTCTTTGAACACTCTGAGTATGTCCCTGGTGCACAGACCCTTTAAAATAAGCTGTTACTTGAGAAATAAACACTGCTACAGAACACTGGGATGCATTTATTAGTCCCTTCGCAGACTGTATCTCCGGCTCAAATACTCCCCGTCAGCTCTGCGAGAAGGATTAAGTGCTCTTTGGTCACAGCATCAACTTGGGTCAGGTGGGGAAAGGGAAAGGAAACAGGCCTGGGTCTTCTCTGTAATACTTGGAAGAATTCTCTGCATAGAAATAAGAGTCGAACTGTAATTAAGCACAATAATCCTGCATATTAAAGATTAAGTTTAATAGATGGAGAATGTTCTGTGATTTGCCTTGTATCCAAGGTGACAGCTGATCCTTTAGCTAAACATAAATGTCTTAGAAGTTGTTCTACAACCACACAGATACATTTAATCTCCCAAGTCTTCTTTATCAGGAGAGTATCAACTTATTCTAAGCTACCTTTTCTGCTCCCAGATATGTATGGAACCAAAGTTGTTCAGAAGTTCTTGTGACGCAAAGTTCTAAGTTTCATTTTTAGGGGTGACGTTGTATTTAGGCCTCTACAGAGCAGTTGATTTTGTTTTATAACATGGTAACTTTTTTAATAGGTACCTTTTCTTTTTGACTGATTTCAGTGCTTACACGTTTTGTGATTATGCTGGCTTTAAATATATGGATAACAGCTACAGTACTTCGCTACCGGGTGACTGCTGAAAAGGCTGAATGATGGATATATTACACCTATATACACAGTGGATTTCAAATAACTGGACCAAAGGGAAAAAAAGCTCATTACTAAATCATGGTCTTTAATAAATTTTGTTGTCTCAGAAACTTTGAAGCCAAAGGTATTTTAGACATGAAAGAGCCACTTAAACACTCGTTTAAAATGTCCATTTCCCTACCTCTCCATCCACTTCATTAGGCTAAGGTAGGGCTCAAGCACCTGCAGTTTTGAAGACTGATGATCGATGGAAGTCGTCCAAGAAGCCCATTTTGAGATGATCAAGTTCTCTCTAAAAAGCTAACTACATGTTTTTCAGTGTTTGGAATCAAAGTCATCCTTTCCACAGCATAAGTGAACATGGGGTGGGATTCTGCTTAAAGTCAGAAGTGGAACTGCATTGAACTACTAGGGTTCACTTTGTGGGACTGTTTAATTGTAACACAGAACAGGATGGCCTTTTTCTATCATAATACAGCATAATATAATCCTTAGGCTATAGCAAGGCTTTCCAGGCAAGCCAAAATGTAACTTGAGTTCCTTCACCAGAGCAGTCCTTTAACTTCATACTGTGCTTTTAATTCCTAACAAAAGGTACTTCTACCTGCAGTCTCTACTTACCATAAGGCAATGCCAGTGAACTTCCTGATTCAGGCATGCTGCCATTTAAAAAGGGCTACACCTACTCAAAAAAAACAGGTTTTGAAAATATAAGCAGTAAAAGGTATTATTGCTGGATTTTTGCCCAGTTTTTATGCATTTTATTTACTATACTATCATATTCTAAACATGTTTAGATGATTGTATACTGTATTTTCCTATAAAAGTTTATAAACCTTAACATTTAAAAACTTTCAACTTCTTATTGAATGGCATTGTTATACAAAGTAAATGAGGTTTACTAGAAAGGTTTTAGCTTCCTATGTAAAAATTTTCATATTTTGAACTCTGCTGAATCTTAAAACTGTCAGTTGTTTCAATGTGATTAGTTTTAAGTTATGTAAAGTAGTTTTTAAAATATCAACTGTGCTCAATCCTTTGAGAACTACTGCTTGGGACCAGCAGGAAAAGAAACATGGATCTAAAAATAAATAATAAATCATTCATTCTATAGTTTTAAAAATCATAGTTGTCATTTAAAAAAAACCCAAGTGAATCTTTTCATATGCAGTTATAAATGTAACTATTAGTAAAAATATAAATTATGTGAAGATTTTTAGTCCAATAAATATTTTCTTTAAGAACACTTTTTGTATTACTACTTCTCATTGCCTGAAGCAACTCCATTAAGAAAAAACTATCTTAGGTGAAGAGTTCTCCATTTTTTTCTCCTTGGAAGGGAAGGGAATAAACATTTAAGCTATGCCATATACTTTATCTACCGTATTTAATCCCACAACAATCCTGTATGTAAATAATTTCCATTTTACAATTAAGAACACTGAGGCTCAGAGTGAATAACCTGTCCCAGATCAGACAGCCAGTAGGTTTCCTAGAAAAGAGCCCACTGATTACCAAAGAAATGCTTTTTAGAAAACCACCTGTCAGCACATTACTCCTGACAAATAGCCAGCTGGCCGCTTTTCTTACCCTCCACACTCAAATGGGATTGTTAGGTCTACATGCTCCTCAAAACACTAAGTCAAACCAGAGACAGACTCCTAGTTGAAATTCTGTTTTGTAGTTTTCCAGGTTAGACTACATGCCAGGACCGAAGACTCACAAGTCTGAAACTTTAGCTAAGACCTGTTTGCTATGCCCATTCTTTGTGTCCATCTTCTGGGAAGGCAAGATTTTTTTTTGTAAATTTTAGAAAGTTGCAGCATTCCACGATTATTTCACAGGAAAAGTATGAAAATGCTTATGTCTTAATTTATTTTATTTATTTTTTAATATAAAAAGCAGGCATAAGATACAATTACATTACTACAAAGATGCAACAAAATTTAAAAAAAATTAGGGGGGTTATGATTTTTGTTCAAAGGGGACAACTGACCAAATATTTATGATTATCTAAACCATGCAGTTCATAACTTATTACAATTCCTAACAAAACTCATTATTATAAGGGGAAGGGAATCAAGGAGAGGCCCCCCAAGCATAAGATTCAACACTGTCAGACAGTGCATATCTTCAAAGTGCTTTACAAATCAACCATGGTATCTTCACAACATAGGGAAACTGAAGCCTTATTCCAGGGAGGAGAGGTGAGTCAGTAGCAGTGTCAACATAGGCAGAGAAACTCAGAGGTGACTTGCTCTCATCAGATTTTAAACATGCTATTTAAAGCATGTTTCAATAAAGTAATATAGTGTCTTTAAGTTTCTCTATTTTATCACCAGAATCCTGTAAGAATAGGTTAACAGCAGCATAACTGTGGTTTGGCAACCTAGAGTATTCCTTCTTGAGGGTCTACAGACACACTGATACACAAGGAGATCCTTCAGAGCCAGATTCATCTAGCAGAGGTTAGTTTTAGAAAACACTAACCTTTATTTTAGATTTATTGGTGTAGATTTTTAAAAATTTTGCTTCAAGATAGCATGTTTTTTAAAAAAATGAATACATTTCAGGAATTCACCATACATATATTTTATTTTCAACAGTAATACCGGCACCAGTTTTCCTTCTACTTTTGCCTTGCTACCCCACTAACCAAAAGCAAACAACCCCACTAAGAAAATCTCGCTATTCATTATTTACTTCTTAGTTCTCAATAGGAGGTATTTATGGCTCTAGGAGAAATCAGGTGTGAGGAAATAAGCAACTTTCGGTCTTATATTTATCTTGGAAGTTTTGGAGCCTCAAGAAAAAGACGAGCTGATACAAAATTAGGTAGGTTGTGAAACCAAGCCAGTATCTTACTAATGACTGCTGCAAACAGGACACTTGGTGAAGGGCATGCACGCGTGTTAGGTACATGAAACCGGCAATGGGTGAAAAGCAAATTCTTACCCAAGGTCAGAATTTTTTATTAAGCACATTTCCATTAGTTGGACAAACAACCTTATACACCCTTATGTCAAACCATATAATGTGAAGAATCTCCATGGGAGAGATATTTTTCACCCCTTAAAATATCTTTTCCCCCCCAAAACTTCACATTAATTTTCCTTATATAGTTGCATCACACCATGATTCTCCATATTCTCTAATATATACAGCATTCAAAATTTAAACTTGCCATTTTTACTCAAATATTTCAATTACTCATGTGTAAACTTCAAATTATTTCACCTTAATAAAGTTTATTAAAAATATATATATATATATACTCTCCAATTCAGAATACTATGATAGAACCTCCCATAGTGTAACAAAATCTTTATATAAAATATTAATTCAGTCTCCTTTTAATAAGTCTAATGAATGGAAATATTTATTCTATATAAATTTTATATATTTTTCATTTTTTAATCTTACTTAAAAAAAAAAAAGCTGTGCCCCAAACCAGAACTGCAGAACATGTCCTGCGAGGGAAATGGCATGCAAATCTAGTCTCAGCCCAGGCAGCATGAAGGAGTGCAGGATGGGTAGTGTAAGAGCAACAAGATTCAGTTTCAGTCCACCAGTAGGCCCAAAGCCCCTCTTCAATTTCCACAATAGTATTTACAATTGGTAATCTAACTCTCTAAACATCTCTACACTGACTCTAAAGGGAATCAATGAAAAATGTCTACTTCCTTCATTGAAATACTAGATGATATATTTCAATATCATGCCAAACTCTGCATTTATGTGTGTACGAAGAGAGATTGATAAAAGACTATGTAATTTTTTTTTCACTTGCTGCTTATCATTGATGCATATTGTAGCAGTATAAAACATACATTTTTCTGGGATAATGAGAAATAGAGCAGGAATGATCCTACATAAACTGTAACTTTAATAGCATTTAAAAAATATAAATCAATGTAAGTTCCTTTGAGGCTACTCCTTCCCAGTCACCAGTTTTCTTAACCCAATACTGAAATATTGCTATACACAGTTGTGTATTTAAGGGATTACATTTAAATATTTAAAAATATATCTACAGGATGTCTTAGGTCTTCTTCTACTTGACATATTTTTTGAACTTTGAGTCTGAAAATGTAAAAATAATCACAAATGTCTTTATCAGAAATAAAAACACACCTAGAGTAGCCAGCAAATTCAAAACAAAGAAAATGTTTCATAGTCACACACTAATACTGAGGTCTGTATAAAGGGTTGGATGAATAATAGATATACATACAAGATATATTAGTTCCAATACTATCCATTATTGTTTCTATCACCAATACTTTAAAAAAATGCTGTTATACAATCAAAATAGGCTGACATTGATAACCATTATGTGTAAAAATAGTGTACTATTTTTCTTCTGCAAAGCAAATTTGCATTCTAAGAGCTGGTAAACACTTGTTCTTTTTTTAAAAATATAGTAAAGGATTGAGACTTTGAAAAAAATTAAATTAAGGCATTCAAAATGGATAAAGTTGCCTATCATAAAGCATTAGGAAACTGACAATTAACTTCAAACTTTTTGTTATAGTAACTGCTTAAACAGGAGCATGCAGCTTCCCTCAAGTACACAAATGAGTGATATAAACTCCAATATTATGGCTTTATACAAGTGCATAGTTACAACTGCAGTAAGTAATGATATCTGATTAATGTGTATAAAAAAAATAAAGTGGGAAATTAAAAAAACCCTCTTGCAGTATTACAGTACTATGTGTGTATTTGTTAATGGTCATTTCTTAAAGATGTAGTCTGTATCACTGTAGTGGAATCCATTCCGAGATTTGTCTGCTAAATATGCTGGTGATATCTCTCTGTTGAAGCTGAAAAGATGATTTTTTGAAGTTTAATTCTTTTCAATCCTTTTGTGCAGTGTAGTGTGAGTGACTGCCAAAGAGAGCTTTATGGAACAAGTTTAAAGGAGCTGCATATGATATTCTTACTCTATTAACCAGTCACTGTTGGTTCAACTTGTTGCTCCAAAGGAGCCCAGAAAAATCTCTTCGAAGATTTATAATTTATATTGCAGGAATAAAGGGAACATATATATACACGTATATATATATATATACACATATATATATATACACATACATATATATGCGTGTGTGTGTATATATATGTATGTATGTATGGGTGAGTTTATCAGTCACTCAGAAAAATACAGCTTTTTAATAAATTTTGGGCCATCATATTTCAGTCTTGTTTTAACTGGGAGAACATGATCACCTTGAATAATGACTGCATTCACAGAAGGCAGTTAGCTGGAAAACAAGGAAAAATGAAGTTAGTTAATACAGTGAAATAATTTAAGAAATTAAATTTTTTGAGAAGGCATTCCATTTATGTCAACTATATAGTCTTCCAACTATGATACTTTTAACACCTAACACAAAACATGTTCACTGTATTACTCTTGTTATGTTTAGGTACATGCAATTATATTCTTATATTTCCCATATTGGCTACAAACATGACACTCAAGTTTAATATGGTTAACTAGCTATCAGGGTTAGAAAATACATCACTGAATAACTCATGAGAATCTAGATATGACTTGGGGATTAACTGTAGCTGTCTCATGTAGCTGAAAGAACAGTGGGCTTATGGACCAGGACCATTTGACTCTTAGACACATTTTTAAAAACTGTAAAATGGGAACAAACACCCTGTTGTAGTAAATATATACAAAATACTCTGCAAATCCTGGTTATAAACAGATCTCAATGTTACATGATTTAAGTCTATGTTTTGCAACATGCTTACTTGTGTTAAGATATCACTTCTCTTAAATCCATTCCATGTAAAAGGTCTGACTCATGGGGTTCAAATTTCATTCAAATCTCCTTTAGCTACTTTTAACCAAACTATTTTGCACTTTCTAAAAGCACAAGAACTTTCACAGCATATCACTGGTAGTCCTCAGCAAGAGTTAACATTGAATTTTCAAAAAGCAAACATTTCACAGCATTACAAAGCAAGCCAAATCAGAAACAGCTATTTCACAGCATTTACTAAACTGACAGTCCATGGTTTGAATTCTTGCAGGTAGAAAGAAGGAAAGAGGAGGGAAGGATGGAGGAACGGAGGGAGGAAGGAATCCAATGTTATGTTCACAAACTGATAAAGTTGTAAGAAGTTGAAAAGATTGTAAATTTTACTTCTCTTACTACGGTTTCTTTGTAATAAACAGGAAGTACCAGAATTAGTTCCTTTTGTTATTTCTGCATGTTTCAGCCAAGATAAAAAATGGTAACTCTAATTGTATTCAAAATATAGCCAATTAAGAATGTGAACATAGCACTTGACTCTTAAACTTAATATGGAAATTTCTGTTAGAAACTTTTCTGTAAACTACTTTTCAAATATATGCTATTAAAAACAACTTAATAAAACTTCAAGGCTAGTCAAATCATGAAAACCCAAGTGCAAATCACATGCACTACTTGGAAGTACTAAAGAAACTCATTTTTCATTTTCTGATTTACCCCATTTATTTCTTCAGAAATCAAATACATCGTCATCATCATCACCACCATCAACATCATCAAATGACCAATCCCAGTCTTTAAATGTCAAATCAAGTAATCTGCAATAGGAGGTTGGCAAATTTATACTCTAACACTCTTTAGAAATGGCAGTTTAATATGCGATGATCTAGAAATCACACTTTGAATGTGCTGTAAGCATAAGCTTTCCCTTCATGAATAACATGATTAAAATTAAGATGGAAGCATACAGGGAAATCTTTATTTATCAATGCACTATAATCACATTGACCAGGTATGCTCTCCAAAATAACAGGGAACTGAGGACAGAGATAATATTTGGGGGTAAGATACCATCTCTCTACCCGGCCCAGATGAAGATGTAACCATCCTAATGGCCAGTTTGATTTGAGAACTAGTAATGCTCAAAATTGGTCAACATTCCCTTCACAAAAGTGCCCAGTTTCTTAGCTCACATTTTCCCAGAATAGTACCATAAACCCTAGTTTAAAAGGGGAGTAATATTAAGAACACAGCTTTCTCCATCTAAGCAGGATCCTACTTGCTCAATGGGTCATCAACATTTATGCTTTCCATGAAAAACAGACAAGGGAAAAACTGTAAGTATATCAAGAGCATTAGCAAGTTATCTTGGCTAAATAAACTGGACTTAGAGCAGGGGAATATGTAGTCTTTTTCTTTTCAACACAATCCAATAAACTATTATTGCAGTCATTTTTATTTTAAAAAATAAGAGTAACTTTTTCATTGTTTATACTGTGACGTTCATGAATCAACTTGAACCAAGGAACTTATCTGGTTTCCAAAGTTTCACCTGTGGCTTCAACTTTAAACTTAAAGTTGGTTCTTGAACTTTAGTGAGTATGATTTACCCAATGCTATTTGTAATGCATATTCCCAGACCTTATCCCAAGAGACTCTGATAAACTTGGCATGAAGAGGGGTGGAGAGTATTTGTATTTTTAAATTAAAAAAGAAAACCCAACTGAGATGATTTCTAATGTAGCTGGTTGACTGAAAATCAGAGTAGGTTTATGCATGATTACTTAAATTTAAAAGTAAACAAACCAACTCACATTATTTCAAAATGTGCTGAATGCAGAACAATGTGAAAACACACAACCGTAGATATAACTATGTATTCACTTAACACATACCACAGCCTATTATCTATTAACTTTTCTAGGCTTACATATAAAGTAACTTTTATCTGTGGTTTCAACTTTACTGCTTGGGAGATTGAGATCTGTAGGCCTTCCTGGGTGTCCAAGCCCAGTTCTAGTATGCTTTATTAAAAAATCTGCATTTCACACCCTTTCAAAACTTTTGAATTGTGTACAAAGTACATGCTGTATCACAATCTTCAAATTGCAAAACTCTAACCCCGGGGCTCTTAGTGCAATGCATGATGAAATGTCCCTTAAAACCTCTCCCTCAGCCCCTGTCAATCATCTAATTCTTGCCATTTCAACTTCAGTCTTTCTTTAGCTTGGTTTCTTCTCTGCATTTTCACCATCAGTATTTTAGTTCAGGATCTCATTAAGTCAAAACATACCAATCTCTTGTGGAACTTCTATTTATAGAACAAAATAAAAAACCCTATAGTGTACACAGTCCTTTTCAGTGTGGCTCAAAGTATTCTCTCCAGTGTAATCTCCTACACTCACTATCATTACCATCTCCTCACCCAACATAACAAAAACAAGTATTTCTGACAGCTTGGTACCTCTGCATGTAACACTTTGTCTAGAATTGGCCTTTCCTTTTTTCTTTGCCTGGAAAATTATTGATTCTCCATTTTTTAGATCTTCTTGATGCCTTTAGGCACAATTCTCCATGCTTTCCTTTGTTTCCCCTAAAAACTCATTCATGCCTGTATGACAAACATTTCAAATAGTACTGTAAGCATCCGTGTGATTGTCTTATCTCTTCCATTTGATTCATTAATGGCTATATACTTTAGTCTATGAAACTTACTGCCAAAAACTGCTTTAGAAGGGTGTGTTTAATTCTGAGTTCTTCAAGCAGTACATGAGAATTCCCATTCTTTACATCTTGCCAATACAAGTTTCTTAATCCTTACCAGTTTCTTAGGTGAAAACTGTTTTATATTGTATTTGTAATTTTATTTTCTTTGCTTAATAATCAGGTTGACCATTTTTCTTAGTTATGGTAACGCCTGCATCTTCCTCACTACTTTTTATATTAGAAGAGGCACACTTGTTTTCCTTAACGATTCATGTAAGAATGCTATATACAAAGATACTAACCCACCTGTCTTACACATATATATAATTTACAGGCTTTAACTTTTGGTTTAACTTTTCCAATCCAGTATCAGATACATATTCACGTATTTTCCTCTAGTTTACTTATGGATTTATTTTTGATATTTCAAGTTGTACATACTTTTTATTTTTTCCCAAATGATTAGTCTGTTGTTAACTTTCTAATATTTAGAAGTGGAAAAGAATAAAGATAAGGTAATAAGGACATGGTTCCCCTTACTCTTAAGTTTTAATTGTGTTGGCAATGCTTTATTTCTTATAATGGGATAAATGAGCATTTACTGCATTTCTGCTCTATACTTTTCTGTGTAGCTTAAATACTATATTAAAAAAATCTTTAAAAGAACAATAATAAAGAAGAAATGCCCTCAGCAGAGACCAGTGTTTTGAGTCTTACATTGTAATAAACTGGAATCTCTCCAAACTGTCTTCATCAAAAGTAGGCATTTTATTCACAAATTTTCTACTTTTCCAGCATAGTATTTTAGTTCAAAATTACCAAGAAACCATTCCTTTACAATAGCACTTCTACACATTATGTTTTATAAACTGTCAATCAATTCATTGCTACTTGTATCCCTGTGAGGCAGTGGAGTATTACAGTTTTACAGAATACACAGGGCTTAGAACTAGACTATCTGGATCTGAACTTATGACCCGCTACCTATCATCTATGGGACTTTGGGCGCACAGTGTTTCCGTGCTTTCATCTCCTCATCTGTTAAATGGAGACATTAAGAGCTAAATAAATCACAGGCTGGTTATGAGGACACTAAATTAGTATAGGTAAAGCTCTCAGAAGAATACCTGGCATACATTATGACCTTGAAGGTGTTATTTTATATAATAATAATAGCTAACACTTATTATCTATTACTTTAAAACACTCATGACAGAAAAAGGAAGTGCAGTTAAGAGAGTTAGAAGCACAATCAGAACCAGGAATGTCACAGAAGCTGAAGGAAAAAAATGTAATGGTGCAGTTATTAACAAAGACAGACACTGAGGTTAAAAAAGAAAAATAGCTAGATATTAAATTACTGCTGATATATACCAGAAATTCTGTTCCTAAGGTTTTCTTGGATGATCCTGTAACAGCTCTATCCATTTGTCTATAGGAATATGTTATACATAAGCAGAATATTAAAGGCCATCTAGCTAATGCTTGACTCTCCTCTAAAACCATGCTACCCAATGTTAGATGGCTGCATATGACAGATTGAGGAGGCTGCTTCTTAACAGTTTTGCCAAGCAGTAGCTAGATCAGGTAAAACCTGTGATGACAGGGCACTCGCTATTCCAGAGCAAGCCAATTTTTCCAATTTTTGAAATCTTTGATTGTCTGATAGTTTCCCTTGCTAAGTTAAAGATATGCCTCTGTACTTGGTTCTTGTTCTAATCCATCTTTGAAGGAAAAGTACTTTAAATCTGTCTTGCTATTTATGATCCCCCATCCTTTCAAATCATTTCTTCAGAAAACTAATATCCTTAGTTCCATCACTCAACGTGTATAACACTTTTGAATGACCTACACTACTACCTCAGTTATTTTCTTCTGCATATTCTCCAATTTATGTATGCCACTCTTGAAGTGATATCCAAAATGGAATGCATACTGTAGGGTGATCCATGTAAGACAGACACATATACAATTTTTTGAATTAATGAAACAGTAGAGGCACACATGTTAAAAACAATGGAAATATGCTGCAGAGGCATAATAAAATATAAAATTATCTTTTAAATGTGCCCATCTTTATGTTTAAAATTTCAAAGAGTATATTAAACGATTTTCACAAAAACACCCTATACATTTTACAGTCAGTTTCTATATTAGTTTTATCTACATGCACAGTTGTGAGAGAAAGAAATCCCTATTACTTACTGTTGCTATGCAAAATGTGTTAAAAAAATCAATGAAGAATGATGCGAAGGGCAGGGCCAGAACTAAAACAAAACAAAAAGTAACAAAAAATCAAAAGTAAATGTGCTTTCCAATAGACAATTATGCTGAGCTGGGGGGACAAAGGAGCAAGGAAAGTACTTCTAAATCAGCGAACATGAAAAATGTCACATAATTCAAAATATGCCTAACTTGGTCTATAAACCAATTCTTGGTCATAAACTAATTATATGTGTTATCATATGTAGTGAAAACAGCAACTTGCCAAAAGCACAAAAGAATAAACCCTATCAAAAGGACTAGAGTTTCTATAGTCCTGCATCTAAAATTATTTGCCCCTCTACTCCAAGGAGTATTTTAAACATCAAATGAGAGAATATATAGGAAGTTAAATGAGAACAGAATATGTACAGAAGCAGCATTTGTGCTTTAATAGTTCTACAATATTAATAGAAATATAATTTTTAGATGTTTTGCACATGGCACACAGAATGACCTTCAGTGTCTCTGAATTCTTTGAGTTTTTTTCAGCTTAATTATTATCGTATAATCACTAACTATATAATATTTAGTTTTATCATACCTCACAGAAAAAGTCAACTTTTTCACTGCTGAGACACCAATTCTACCTTTTTCATTCTAAATTATTTCCTTGAGATATTAGTTTCAAGAAAAGTTTCATATAAGATGTTTGTGGTTAGAATGAAAAGATTTCTGATAATATAGCCAATGCACATCATTATTCATATACTGAAGGTCCTGTGTTAGGGAACAAAAAGGATACCTGAGATTAGATACCTGATCTCAGTATATACTTTATCCTTTAGCTAATGAAATCTTCATTTCAATGAGCAACAATATTTATAAATGCTATAGCAGCTAGTACGCCAATAAATGGTTATTCTGAATCAATAATTAGATTATAATGTAGCCATATGAAAATGGCTTCATCAAAACATTTTTGTGCATTCACAATCATCTCTAAACTTACTCCATATTCCCAACTCCACCTTAATTACAAGGAATGCCCATTTTTCCCATTAGCTAATATCTGCACTTTCAAAGCTGATCTATATTGCTCTTTAAACCTGAGAAGTTATCTTAAACTTACAGATGTGATTTTAAGACTTAAGATTTTAGTCCTGCCTCCCAAGTCATCTAATATAAAATAAGTTTAAGAGGTTTGCAATATTAAACACAATGTGTATACCTAACACTTTAGGTCTATGTGTGCACCCTGTCTACTAAATCACTAGTGAATGTGCTTATAAAATCCTGACATATTATGATTATATACATAAATATAACAAAAATGAGCCCTTCATATGTTTTTGGTTTAATATATGTGTATGATTTATTAACTAAACTTATAGTACATTCATCCAAATCAATGAATGATACACACTAACATAGTTTCAAACATTTGGTATACATGGTTCATTCTAAGCAAAGGAAAACCGTAATTAGAAAAAACTTAGTTTAAATATAAATAGGAAAACTAAATTTTAAAAAACACTTTAATTTTTACCACATTTTTACTTATTACCTTGGCTTGTTTGGGGCAAGCTGTCGACTTGGCCGTCTAATTGACTGGTTTTGTTGTATCTTCATTGAAGTTCTAGGAGATGACCGTGCAAAAGGGTCTGGAGCTGGAGGCTTTTTTGGTATCTTTTTCACCAACCGAGTAACCCATTTTTGCTGCTCTTCTGTAGAATTTGCTAATAACAACAGATTCTTTGCCGTTGAAATATCATAATACACTGTAAAGAAATGTTTGTAAAAAATTAATGTGTTTAAAATGATCCAAACATAAATAATATTGATAGAGAAAATAACTATTTACCTTTGCAAGGTGCTATAATCTCCTCCTTTTTGTCCATATGATCTTTATGACATTTAATATGGCAGCGACGGCACTCTAAAGCAGGGGGAGGTTTAAACATATGCCACAATGGCTTCATACAAGCCTCACAGTTGGTTGGGAAATGATAGAGAGTAGGAATAAATTCATGTCCCTTGTGGCAAATATAATTTGACTTTTCCCCCACTGGCTCCACTGGAAATTCCTGTTCCTTCTTACTTTCTCCTTCATTGGCATACAGAATCTAGACACCAAAAAGAAAAATGAATGATTCCCAAACACACGTTATTTTTATGTAGAAACAATTCTTATTATAGTGTAAAAAGAAGCCTAGATTATTCAATGAGAAGAAAATGCATTTGACATTCAAACATTCTGTCCAATCAAGAACTCGTATGAGAAAAGCCATGAGACAATCACTTAGGTTCTCATTTCAAAACAATCAATCCTGTTTGAATGGTGGCTAGAGCTCCTTAGTTTCTCCGTGATATCTTACTATGTTTTAGCAGTCTTATCAGAACAGGCCAGCAAGAGGTAAATTTCCACTTGATGGATGTTATAAAGTTTTTCTAGAAGGGAGTATTCAAAACATCACCTGAAGAGATGTGGCAAATATATGAATTGATGCTTTATGATTCTCAGAAACAGACATCTGAGTGGTAATTGAAAACATAGCTTTAACTGAAAAATATGTATTTGGAGAGTTAAGGGAGAAAGAACAAGAAGTAAGGATGTGTGACAGACTCCAAATAACATTGTACACATCTGCAAAACAAGCTGCCAATTCCCCCTACAGTATACCAAGCACAACAGCTTTTACATAGAAGGAACTCAGTAACTAATTACTGGTTTGACTCATTTTTGACTAAAATGGTAGTAAAGGGAAAACTTGAATTCACTTTAAATTGGAAGTAAAAGGGCTACTGGGTGCACAATTTAACTTCACAAGCAATTTTTTACCCCACTTTTTAAAGAGCTGAGCATAAAACCAAAAACAGGAAAAAGTTTATGCTTAAAAACTGTCATACCCAACCTTGAACAAAAGAATAGGAATGAAAATATACCCAAACAGAATAAACAAGAAAGTCACCAAAGAAGGAACCACCTTTAAACAGGACTAAAATTTAAAGATAATCTGAAGGCCAAATAAAAAAAATTTGATATGACATACTGAGAACTTCTAAGGGTAAAACAAAACAAAACCAACCAACAAAGCAGTAACAATATAAAACAATGTTTACCTGGAATATCCTCGGAATTTCTTTAGCATCTGCTCTATAAACATCTGTCTGTGTAACTGGTCGGACATGAAATAGCTTGCTATAAAATATTTTTAATAAAGGAATAAAATATTACCAAAGGTTCAAATTACATTAGTTATCCTATAGTTATGTCAGAGGCTAAAACTGACAAGTTTGACGCCTTTTAGGTCTGAGAATACCTTACTTGATGAATTCAATCATTCCTTGAGACTGAGAAATTTCCAGTAAGTCAGAAATTTTCTCATTAGTTTCAGAAAGCAACATATTAAAGACCCATTAAATAAAGGTGTTTTGGTTAACTCTATATATATTCCAGACTTGCATTTGCATGAAGCAAATATTAGGTAACAACAGTATTATACTACAGGAGTGTGTATATATATATCTATACACTATATGACTAATAAGTTGCACTAACAAAAAAGGTATCTTACACTTTAAATGATGAAGCTTCTAAATATTCTAATAAAAATACTTACTCTATATCTAAAACCATGTAAGGATTAGATTGTTCTTTATCTTGTTCACTGTCATAGAAAAGAATCTTCTTACTGCTCACAACCACATACTGTGAAAAAAAGAAGGGAAGGAACTCAATAATGACTAAAGTTAATATGTATCTCTTAATTTCCTTGAAAATAAAGTCTATACTAGCAAGAAAAATCATATGAAATACCAAAGTTAAATAACTAAAAAGTTCTTACTATATCTTTAGAAAAGTCCTCCTTAAAATGATAATAAATTTTATTTGTATATGTTTTAAATAAGCAAACTGTGAGGAAATGATTCAAATCATTTTTGGACTGATTTAGCTTCAAGATATCAATAAGTATAGGTATTGCTATGATTTAAATGTTTTATGTTCTCCCCAAATTACTATGTTAAATCCTCACACCTAATAAGATGGTGTTAAGAGGGGCCTTTGGAAGGTAGGTAGGTCATGAGAGCAGAGCCTTCCTGAGTGGGATCAGTGCCTTCATATAAGGAGTTCCAGAGAGATTCCCAGCCCCTTCCATTATGTGAGAACACAGTAAGCATCTTCAACCTGGAAAAGGGCCTCACCAGAATTCAACCTTACTGGCACCCTACGACTTGGACTTGCAGCCTCCACAACGTGAGAAATTAATTTGTTGTTATTCATAAGCTACCCAGTCTGTACTATTTTGTTATAGCAGCCTGAATGGACTAAGACATTTATTAAAACTGAGCACACCACTAATAATTATAGGAGCAGAAGGAAAGAAATAAATGAGTATTAATGTCATACCCAAAGCTGTTTTCCCACTAAAACTGCTAAAGTAGCAAAGTCAACAGGTGTCTCTTTTCCCAACATTAAAACCTGACTTACTAACATGTTAATAATAAAAGGTTTTTTTAAAAAAACAAAGATACAAATAATCTCATCATTCTAAATCAGAAAGTACAAACAAGTTTTATGTGTCTAAAGTTCTAGCTATATATGTCTTACAACTATACAAGTGAAATGGCTACAGCTAAACCAAAAGCAAAAGAGAAGAACCCTATTAAAAAATACCAATTACCTTTTTAACCCATCCAAATTTCTTAGTATTGTTTCGTACAGGCAATGAAAGCCATCCCTCTAGTCTTGATTCTATAAATAAGCAACAGATATATGGATAAATGTAACAATTCTGTTAATGAGGAATTTAATAAAATTCTAATATAAAGGTCACAAAACAAATAAAATGTACCCATTAGAATTTATCATTACACATATCTAGGATATAATAATGCATGATAAGTATAAGCAAGTTACACAATCCAAAACAAAACCCAGATTAACATCACAATGGAAATATATGTTCTATAACTTATAAAAGTCAAATACCCTGTGTTAAATTCATGCATTTGCAAAGTTCAGCAGATAAGTTGCAAATAGGAAAAGCAGATCTCTGCTGCTTCACTGGTACATCTCTAAAAGGCCAACTATAAATACAGTACACATCTTCTTTGAAAAGAAAGCATTTAAAATGAATAACTACATGTTCAGAGAGAATGGACTTTTAGAATGGCTATAATAAAATGAAACGAAATTGTGTAAATTACAGGTCAAATTTGGTTAATGAGTAGCAGTACAAATATGCAAAAAAAATTTAAGTTCCAAAATAGCAAAATCAATAAAATTCTAGTTCAATGAAGAAAGCTTAGTGTATATATCCTTGGAATCTGTTCTAATGGCACTTGATCAGTATCTTTTATTGAAATAATTAAATGAAGTAAGCACATTTGGAGGTTACTCTAATAATAAAAGTAGCTATCACTTATTAAACACCTGTTTCTGAACTGTGCTACATGCTCCACCTGTTTTCTTTCATCCTCACAACCCCACAAGAAGGTCGCAAAGGGCTGTGTCTGACTCCAGCACATATAACCCTTTCTCATCTCACATCAACAACCTTCCAGATTCTACGAACAGAAACTGCCATTAAAAGCAGTCCATGTACTACTCAACTGTCTGGACATGATCCTACACCAGTTTAAGGGACTCAATCAGATGACCTCTAACAACATGGGTAAGACCAAGATAATGTTATTGCTAAGATCTAAAACGCCAATACAATTAGCACATAAGCTACATTATATACTGACATATACCTTGGAAATGTGACAATGTGAGTAACAACAGCTCTTTTACTTTCAATTCAATTCATCAGAGACTAAAATTTACCTTCAACTGCTCATATACTAATTTCCTGTGGCATTTATATTAAACATTTTTTATGTGTACTTGTACTAACTTTGTGTTAAACACAATTTTGGGTTTTCCATCTGGTTTCTTCACTGAAACTCTGGTCCTCTCAGGGCAAGGATTAGGTCAAATTGTCTTATACTCTCTTTTCAGGCCTAATAACCCAATGTTGGCTACCTAAGTGCTCAGTGAAAACTTAACCACATCCTCTAAAACAGCCTACATGCTTTTTCTACACTATCACTCTTGACATGAAACTTGAGAATTCTTCTTAAGTTGAAAATGGTCAGTGAAGCTGTACATTCTTAAATTATATAAATTACTTTAAGTTGACAAAATAAATCTATCAACTGTAAAAGCAATGCAATGTGAAAATATCTTGAAAACAAATTCTTTGTTCATGCAGCAGTTTCTTCTGAATTGAGGCCAGAGCAACTTGTTAAAGTTAGTGAATATTAGTTAATGTTATAAAAATTTTTCAAAAGGGCTGATATTAAGGGTAGTGGGAAAAACTCCAAAGGTGAAAGATTTTCAGGGTATCACCTGTACCATTAGGTTCCGATGAAATAGGTAAGTTAGGCAAAGATTCTTCTTCTGAGTCAGAATCAGAGTCAAGAAGCATATGAGAACTGGAAGGCTTAGTGGCAATATTGAGAGAAGTAGAGGAACGTTGGTAGGTGAATGACATGGATTCCATAGTGTGTGACTGAGTGATATGAACTAAACACCCAAAATAAAAGGAAGTAAGAACGCAGAAAAAGTTAAGAAAATAAAATAAAAGTTTAAAGAGACCTACCTATAATATATAAAGAGCCAATTCAAGTAATTAAGCATGAGGAATTTCTTTTTGCATTTTTTAATGAAAAAAATTTGTCAAAAATCAGTAAATTGTTTAAAGTATCATTTGAATCTCCACTCTTAGGAGTAGGTTCTTCCTTAATGAAATGACAAGCATTTTTCCTCAAGAGTAAAGCCAGTCAGAGGGCTTTAAATAATCAGCTGATCGATATTTAAGACAAAAAGCTTTTAATGAAAATAAACATAAGAGCTGAAAACAAATCCATACCTGGAAACCCATCATCTGCCTCAGCATCCCCTGGTCCACTGCCTATACTGGAACTATCTAGACCGATATGCAAGGCTTGGAGCTGTGACCGCAGCTGTTCAATGTCACTGTCTTTACTGTCCAGTGTCATCTGCAGTTCAATTCGAATCTGGCTCTCTTCAGCTATTTGCTACAAGAAATTAAATTACATTAAATTAATTGAAAGCCATGGATCTCATGATTTTGATTTAGTTCAATAATAATTGTTAAGTAACAGACATATTCTATGACCAGTAAAATATATATATTCTACTTCTTAAAAAGAAAAAAATTCTACTTCTTAAAAAGAAGTCTTTAGAGTCCAAAAAACATTCTTACAGCCTGCATTTCATTCAGTTCTTTCTGATACTTGATCATCTGCTGGGTCAACTTTTCACGTTCAGATTTAAGCTCCATATGTAGCTTTCTATTCTCTTTCTCTTTTCTCCGCACGTCTGTGTCATTACCACGCTTGACAGGTTCTTTTCGATTCATGATCTCAGCCAACTTATTCACAGCCTTAAAATATACAAAATAAGTATATACATAAATAAATAATGTTTACAGTTTTTTGGTAACTCACCAATAGCAAATTATACAACCACTAAACCTCTCCTTTCCTATACACAGGGCCACAAAGAAACACTTTCTATGTTAAATAATGTACTTCTTCATTACTCATTATCCTTAATTATCCCTCATTACTCATCATCCTTTATGCTCTATCAGTTTTGCACTCTTATGTTTTCTGAGAACTATAATTTAAAATATTTATAGGTTCGATCTGATGTCACTTTCTATACAGAATTGAGTTTTTAATTCCAAGAGAGAATTTTACTAGGCAGATCTTTTATCCTCGAGGAAGAGAATGTTGAATTGGCATCACATTAATAAAATTTGTCCAACCACAGAAGAGAGCACCTAGGACCCACAAATATTCGTGCCATATATACAACCATGGAAGTTAGCAGCAGAATGGTCAATAATCACAGATGCCTTTTCAGATTAACTGACCTTTTACAGGCTGTCAGCAAAAATTCTCCAGTTTTTTAAAAGCAGGAAAACTTACCAGATTATAATAACAAATCAGGAGAGAATATGATAATATGATTCCATATAGAAAAATAATGAAAAACTTTATTGAATTGGACAATGTTAATCAAAACTAGCTACTCCAACATGGCAAAAATCAGATAATTGTGACTATTTACAAATACTGATACATTCAATGACAGCTACTGCCAATCTGTAAGCTAGAAGTAAATGTAAAAGAGAGAATCTAGAAAAACTCAAAATCATTATTTATGGGAGTTCATTATACATACTTGAGTTTTGAGTGTCCTCTCTGTTAACAGCTGCTTCTCAAATTGTGCTTTAATAGCTGCTGCACTTATCTCCTCATCTTTCAACCTTGATAGCTCTGAAATAGGAAAAAGGTACAAAGCATATTGGTAATTATGGCAACTGACAAACATAAGGTATATTTAAAATAATTGTTTGTCAATACATACGCTCTTGGGCATCTTTCAATTTGTTATTTAATTCTTCTTTCTCATTTGCAAGATTGGCAACATCACTAGTTAGTGTCCTATTAGTTTCTTCTAGCTATAAAATGAAAGTAGAAAAGAAATAACATTCCAAGTTACAAAACTAGAGTAATAATTAAAAATGAAAATATCCTAGAATGTCGCTTTTCTAAGTACATCTGTCTCTACACTTTTGTGCTACCTTACCAAATTTCATCCTTGATGACATTTTGCTAACCATAGTAGACTTTACATGACGCCTAAGAAGCCAAAAAATTGTCCTTGTCTCCAAAATCCTTAGCAGTATTTTTAATGAGAAAAATATTTAATAAACTAACAAAAGCAAATACTGTAACATAACTCTGCAATCCATCATGCAGAATAAACAAATTTTAAAACTAGTATTTCTTTCAGAATGTTATTTTGAAAAACAAAACTTTACTACAGATGTTGATATCCTTCTATATTCTCTTCAAATCCTATTCCTATTTTCCTTTCCTGAAGGATATTTTATTGTGAATTACATGTCATCCTTCCCATCCAGGATTGTGTACTTTTATTAACAAACACATAAACAATACATACAGTGGTTTTATGTGATTTTAAATTGTCCATAAATAGCATCATACCTTATTTATCTTTCTGTAATTGCTTTCACTCAACATTATATTAAGAATTAAATTGTTGATATATATGAAGAGCTAATTCATTTAAACTGATAAAGTAGCTCCATCTTCTACCACGTTTATTTATTCCTCTATGGTAAGACACTTGAATTTTTACTTTTACATTTATTTGAATTCCTGCATTTATGCAGCTGTGCATGAATTTCTCAAACATATTTATATTACCATGGACTTTCTTTGGATTATATGAATATTATAATTTACTAGAAGTTTCCATACTATTTATTATACTACACTATACCCTACTAAATTTCAATCCCCAGACTAGTAAATAAGAATGTCATTTTCCAGAGATCCTTTGAACACTTGAAATTAGTCAGAAATTGCATTTTGCCCATGTGCTGGATATGAAATGGCATTTCAAAGATAATTTATCTAGCCTTTTCTTAAAGAGTAGTTAGGTTAAATGCTTATATTTAAAATGTTCTCTTTTGGCCAATTTTTCTTTTGGATTGTTTAACTTTTTCTTATCTAACTGTAGTAGCTCCACATATATTCTAGATACTAATTTCTTCTTCCTGTCATTTATTATCTTCTGCTATAAGTAAGTTGTGGGCTCTGTTCTGGTAATTTAAATTCTTTTAAATTCTTTATTTTTCATATTTAGGTCAAGATAGCCAGATTTTTACTTTTTGGGTTTTTTTGTATGTGGTAAAACGATCTAAATTTTATTCCTATCTTAAAAATATAGTTATCCCAAAATCACGTATTAAATCTGTATCCTTTCCCATTAATTTTTATGTTACCACTTCCATCATATACCAAGTTCCTATATATACACAAATCTATCTGGGGCCTCTCTACTCATTTTCACTGAACAGAATTAAATATCTGTGTTCTAATAGCACACTTTTCGATTACTATATTATTTGTAATAGATCTGGATAACTGATAAGACAAACTATTTGATATTTTACTGCTCTTTGAAATTTGTATTGCAATTGTTTTTAACCTGCATACCACTGTCTTCATGGTAGTTTCATGATTCTTCTGAACTAAGCTTTGTTTAACAAGAAACAATGTCTTAAAACTTCCCTTTCATGTAAGTCCTCTAATTGAATTTATCAAACAGTGAAGCCATTATTAGTTTCTTTTCTGAGCTGCTCTCTGTCAAACAACAGAAATGCTGTAGTTAAGTGGATCAAAAATCTCATAGCCAGCATATACAATTTCTCTTTTAGATCTGTTATTACTTTCCTAGTGCTTCTAAGTAAGACTTATGACATAGTAATTTAATTATAATAAAAAAATGTCAAACAACAGAAATGCTGTAGTTAAGTGGATCAAAAATCTCATAGCCAGCATATACAATTTCTCTTTTAGATCTGTTATTACTTTCCTAGTGCTTCTAAGTAAGACTTATGACATAGTAATTTAATTATAATAAAAAAAAAACCAAGGATTTTACTTACAGATGCAATTGTAGCATCTTTTTCAGTGAGTTCCTGTTTATGTCTTGCCATCATCTCTTTGATCTCCAGCTCTTTCATGATTTTCTCTTTTTCCAAGTCAGAATATTGTTCTTCAGCAATTGAACGAGCCAGCTGTTCCGAATCTGCTTTGGTCAAGGTGATCTCTAGTTGAGCAGCCAAAGAGTCCCTAAATTTTAGATATATCATGTTCAACTTCCACTATGAGGTCAAAATTTTTATCTAATTTACTTCAACAAATTTTTATCTGTAGAATAGCAGGCAATGTTCTAAGGACACAGTATGTGGCTATGAACAAAAGAGACAAGGATCTTGTCCTTACCTTTCATCCTGTAATTCCTGTTTCTTCTGCTGTAATTCTTTACAAAGTTTGGTCTTTTCTTCACATTCTTCTTTAAGTTCCCTCACCTGTGTTTTATAAAGGGTCTAAATATAAAAATATAACAGAAACATTTATCATCATCATCATTAGGAATATTATTACCACCTTCAAAATCTAGAGAAAAAGTCAACTGAGCACATACAAATATGTTCATAACACTGAGTAATGTTAAACCCCAGAGCAAATTTAAAATTCACTGAGCTCTTCATTTTCTGATAATCAGTCAACTTAAAAAAATTCACCTAGTAATTCAGGAGCATGGTTTTCAACTGGGTATCATAGCTGGTATTTCTCATTAAGTGAAACAGATTAGAGTATGGAAAAGACGCAAAGAAAAATATTACCAATTTAGACAAGAAAATTTTGTTGGCCAAACTCAATGAAACAGAGGTAACAGTTACTACTTCATATTTTAAATCTGATCTCAAAAAAGTGTAAATGTTAAAATGACAATTTTATCTCTTTCATCAAGAAAACATTCTTCGCCAAAAAGTAATGCATTTAATCAACTTCAGAGGGTATGGGTATGTGCTTAGAACTGTTTTCTAATGAAAATAGATGTCTGGTACACTACAGACCTGTTATCTTGCCCACTTGCTCTTTTATGAGTAGTACAATACAAAACATCCCACCCAAAATCCTGTCTGGTGTTTGCTTTAAGAATGTATTCTAAAGACAAGAATCATTCTTCTTGTTTCACAGCAAAAAATATTTTTAAATTCTAAAAATACAACAATTTTCAAATTAATGTGTCTGGAACTTACTGAGAAATACTGTTCTGCTTCAAGTTGATCTTGGAGTTCTTTCATTTGCCCATCTGCATCCTGACGTTCTCTGTGGGGAAATTGAATCAAAGATTTAAATGACTTATACACATATTAAACCAGCAACTCTTGAAACGTGGTATGGGGAACCCCTGGGAGTCCCTGTGACCACTTCAGAGAATCCATGAGGTCAAATTATTTTCATAATACTTGGCATAATTGTAGGGTTTTTTGTTTTAGTTTTAAACTCATTCTCTCACTAGTATATATGGACTTGGATCTATATGACATATGATGATGCTATACTCCATCAGTTAATGAAATATCTGCTTGTATGTTCTTATGTTTTTAAGATTTTCTCAGTTTTAATTTTTAAAACAAAAAATGTCATTAGATAGGACTCACATAAACAAAAACTGGGGCTCTTGGTAATTAATAAGAGTATAAGGGTCCTAAGACCAAATAGTGTTATATGAAACCAATAACACAAAATTACATGTTCTCATACATGCACTGTGATCAGTCATTTATATCAACCAACTAGTAAAATAAAAGAGCACCTGTAAACCAATTATCTTAGGATGAGTGAAGAAATGACTGAGGGGAGCTAAGGAGTGTAGGTTTTTATATCTAAATGTGGATGCTAACTACACAGATTTGTACACTTTGTAAAAATTCATTGAGCTCTACAGTTTCCATCTATGTACTTTTTCTATATGAATGTTAACTTCTAATAAAGAAATAAAATTAAGTTAAAAAAATAACAAGCAAGCCTAAGAATCCATTTTAGGTGGAGAAAAATTACATTCTAGGCATAGAAAAAATCTGGAAGGATAAATACAAACTGCTAAGGTATGGCCCTTCAGCCTCTGGAGAAAAAAGAAGTTATCACTCAATGTTACTTATCTGTGTTATTTCTGTATTTTATTATGATGAGTGTACTGTTAAGATATGTTCTTTTTTCTCTGAGTCAAAAATGTAAACGATGCTTATTAATAATATATGAAAGGTCAAGTTTTAAAATTGTCTCATCATTACCAGTTAAGCCCATTTGTGTCAAGCCCCAGTGTAACTGCGATATCATGACCTTCTTAAAGAGCTGCTAGCATTCAGCTACATGTAACTCTGAAAACCTAACATTTACTAGGTATTTAAGAAAAGTATTTTTCAGAAAGTAACTACATAACATGCACATAGTTACAATTAAATAGAGAACAGCACAGAAGAGATTATAATGAAAGACAGCAGTCTCCTTATCCACATCTCCCTACCCACTAATCCTACTCCCTTATAGGAAATCACTTTGCTTCATTTCTGTGTTTTGTTCTTTTGGCAGTTACCTTCACATCTCGGCTTATTGCCTGATACAAATTTTAAATACTATTTACCAAATATTGCCACCTGTGAGAATTTAGCTCCTACTATCCCTTACCTCTTACTAGCTCCCAATATGGTAGCTGCACCACTGTCCTAAGTGACATAACCAAATCTCCATTTCATAGTGCATCTACTACCAATCACAACCTTCTCAGTTTGAGATGAGAACTGTAACACTTCCCTCCTTTCTTTTGTTTTTGAAATGTCCTAAAAACACATCTAAATGTTGGTCTTTTTCATTTATTTTTGCTGGGTCCTTTCAATCTAAAGACTTCTCTTTCAGCTATGGGAAATTCTTTTCTATTATTTCTTTAATCATTTCCTCCTCTTGGCTTCTCTGGAATCCTTATTTGTCTGATGCTAGAACTCCTAGAAGGTCTCTGTGTGTCATACCTATTTCTCTTGTTTTCCATGTCATTCCCCTTGCTCTATATTTTGCAAAATTTCTTAAGACTTTTTCTTCGACGCTTTCTAATAAATTTATACTGGCAATAATTTTTAATCTTCAAGGGTTCTTTTCTATTTTGACTTTCCTTTCTGCATTACACCTGGTTCTTGCTTAATAGAAGTAGTATCTCCTGGAATCTTTGATCTGTACTGATTATTACCAGTGAGGTTTTTTTGTTTGTCCTCTCTTTTTAAGTTCTTTTCTATTCCTGACATATATTTCACCTTGGGATGCTTTTTGCTTTCTTTTATCATAGTCTTTCTCTTTAGTATTGCAGGCATTTCTCAAATATCAATGATAGTTTATCTACAAAAGAGGAAACTTTAATCTCTATGCTTATGGAAGGGGTTTTCTAACTGGCAAACTTTAACTTAAGATGAACAGTCTTAAAAAGTCAGCATTAAGCAGGGGCACCCCTAACTGCCAGAATAAGAAAGGCTTTTCTATGAGCTGCTGACCCCATACTGCTGTTCTAATTATCCACAGCACGTGTGTGCAATTTCTTTAGAGGTGGTGAGAGTTATATGATCAGCAGATTGTTCCATTTATAGCATCACATCTTACTCCAGCCCTTCAAGATATCTGCTTTGAATAATGAAACATTTCTTTTTTCACTTATATCCCTCTTCATACATTCTCCTGCTGTGGCTTCCTTTGCTCTACTTCATGAGTCATAAGGTTTCTATCCACTTGTCACTACCTCATTAATTAAAGGAACTTCCTGTCCTCCAATTCATTGTAATTCTTGATGTGGGTTTATTCATTTAAAAAATTCCTTTATTAGAGTTTAACTGGCATCTTGGAAGGAAGAAAAGATGTTCAAATGAAAGCCTGTGCAGCACTTCATATGTAAATTCCCATCACATGGCTTTTTTTTTTTTACCTTATATTCCTATTATTTATGTCCCCATTTTACCTCCCCCTAAGGAATGATTTCTGATAAAATGCTAGCATGGTTCTTAAAGGTCAGAAGTGTACCTGATTCATTTTTGAATCCTCCACCAGTGACTACTGGTGCCTTACACAGAACAGATATGCATTCATGCAACATTTATTGAGGACATACTATGTGAAAGACATTACTCAGGAGCTAAGAGCACAATATAAACCAAGGATTCCTGCCATTCAATGAACTTACAATGCATTAGGTGGTTAAGATAGCAAATGTGGGTGTATTTGGGGAGGAGGGTTAGGAACTGAGGGATTAGTAAACAACAGATCTGTGTGCCCTCATAATGAAAATAAAAAGCATATATATGGAATGCCATAAATTTAGGCATAAACAAAGTATAATTAGAACAAGAGAAGAAACACAATCGAGATGTTTAACTAGCTCTTGCATTCATATAAACATTCTTATTAGAACAGACACAATGGAGAAAATCTGTTCAGTCAAGTGGACTTAAAACTATTCCCTAGAACCTAGAATTCATAGCTTATGCTCTTGACCAAAGCTGGGCCCATGACTTCCATTCCAGGACTGGGGGTACTTTCTCAACTTGGGATCCAGGAAAGTCAAATCAGGGTCTCTCCAAATAAATGATGCTATAGGATTTATCTCTAGAGTTTGTCCTTAAAGGATTAAGTTTTCTGATACATGGAAAATGCTAGCCTAAAATGAGAGAGAATAATAAAGCTAATTAATATACAGGAAAAAAAAGCCAAACACCACACATAAAAACATGAAAAAGACAAAAATGTCTGAATATTGTTTAAGTTTCTAATTTCAATTTTTAAAAGTTGAAATCTCATGAGGTTTAAAAGTATAGACTTCACCCAGGCAACAGATCAGCAAAAAGAACAAAACCATTTTGACCATCCTTTCCTAGATAGCATCAATCCTAATGGCTTGTCACAGGTTTGTAAAAAGCAGACAATTAGCAATAAAAGGAGAACAGTCACAGTAGCAGTAGTAGTAACAGCAATAGTTGTAGTAGTAATAGTCCCTATGTTTTACTGGGAGCTAGGTGGTATGAATATATCATTGTTATCCTTTACAAGATCCCTAACAAAGAAGCTATTATTGCCCTCTTTCATAGGTGTGATAAAAGACAGATACATTAAATATTCTGCCCAATGTTGGTCAGCTAGTAAGTAGTGGAACTGGGATTCACACCTTGATCTCTCCGGTTCTGAAGCCTATATTCTTTCCATTCCACTGTACTGCCTCTCATCAAATAGCTGGGATCCAGTATGACACTTGGTCATGACCGGGAAGAAGTAATTATACTACTAATGACTGAATGAGACAAACTTTTACAGTATATTTATGTATACTTTAAAATTACTTTAACATGTTTTCTGTTTTCTAAGTAAATTAGAGTACCAGAGTATATCCTAAAAAATGATTTAGAAATTTATATAGTACTTGCTTAATTAAACATTTCCAAGTCCCAGAAACTAAAGGAACAAACAAGTCCCAGAAACTAAAGGCAATACACTTAAGAGACAGTTGTGTGGAAGAAATCTGAAGAGCATGGAGTGAAAAATCCAAGACATGTTCTTCTGCTCCAACACCAACACTCTATTAATGAATAATAATAAGGTTGGTGTAGTTAAAACTGTTGGGGAAGCAAATATAATCTTCCTGAAGAATAACAGTGGCACTAAACATATTATTTGTATAGGAAGAAAGAGAAAATATAGTCAAGAAAATAAAAGTCAAAAGCAAATCCTCAGATAAAACAAAACTAAGATAATTTACATGTGGATAGCAGTATTTATTAGTAAAACTTTGTCTGAACTTACTTTCGAAGTTCAGCATTCTGTTTTTCCAGGCTCATTTTCATTTCCATGAGATGATTGTTCTCTTGCTTTAACTGTTTTTCTGACATTTTTAGTGTGTTAACTTGCTGTGTTTGCATCTTCAGGTCATTTTGGGTAAGGCAGCGCTTCTGAGTTTCTTGCTCTATTTTTAATGTCAAGTTTCTAACCTAAAAAAATAAATTGAGTACTTAGTATATATATAAATTAATTTGATTTTCTTATCAATGAAACTGGCAACAAATATGATCATATAAAACAGACTTTTGACTTCAGGTAGCTAATTCATTTCACAATAAAGTATTTTTGTGGTTTTGATAATATCTTTAAAATAAAATATATTTTAAAGTAAAAATAAATTAAAAATTTTTTTAATTATCATTCATTTAGTCCATCATCCAAATTCAGTAAAATTAAATGTCTGAACATTATTTTACAAGAAAAAATTTTTAATTCTGAAAACATAATTGAACCTTTACAAATAAACATTTACTATTAATTAAAGTTTATCATTATTTATTAGTAAACTTCATGCTTACATCTTCATTTAGCACATCCTTCTGCTTCAGGAGTTCATTTATTTTCTGCTGGGACTGTTTGAGATCACAATCAAATATAGAGCATCTTTTTTCAGCTTCCAGCAACAGGTTTTCCACTTTCTGTTTTAAAGTCCTTTCCTCCAACAGCTTTTTCTCCATTTCTATTGCCACAAAAATAGACAATCATGAATTTACAAACAAAAGAATTATATCAAATACATGAGAGTACTAATAAAAATTACAGTAAATAATGCTACCTTAAAAATAGTTTTTTAATTCCCAGTATTTTTACCACTTCTCAATGTATTTGAAATACCAACCATTTTGAGATTAAAAATTAGGTTTTTCATGCGCAAGGTACAAAAATCTACTATGCCCTGCAGTATTATATCTATTCTAATGGAAGTAAAATAATTCTGCATTTACTTACAGTTCTAGCATACATCTTTTAAATAAAGACTTCACCTTTTAAATAATGATTTCTTTTAACTACCTGCTACTCTGTGCCTCCCAGTGTTATTATTCTTACCTTAAAACATTCCAGGAAGATTCTATGACTTTTATAGCTCCTTCCATATTAGCATATTACTATGCAGAGGATGAAAATTATGTGTTAAGGAGATGGTAAAGGGCATGACTCTGGAATCAAACTTCCTCAGTTTAAACTCTGGCTCTGACACTTTCTGATTATTTGAATGGACAAGGTAGTTAACCTCTCTGAAGTCCAGTTTCCTTCTCTAGAATGGTGATAATAGCACTTACTCTATTAATGATGTTATTAAGGCTTTGAGTCAATGTATATGTAGCACTTAAATGCAGCCTGACATATGGCAAGCACTTGATAATTGCTCACTATTTAAAGAGAATTCTTAATAACCTAAGAAAATGTTCACAACAGTCTTTAACAGAAAGAAAGCAAAATAGTACAGACAACTGAAGAAGTATATAAAAGACCATGCTGATTTAGGAGTCCGGGCAATTTTTATTTACTTCTTTATATTTTCCTGTATTTTTTAAATGATTTGCAAATTTTTAATTTGGTTTATTAAGAAAAGCAGGCACGTAATATCTAATAAAAACTAAATGTAGAGAAGGAGTCAAGATGGCAGCATGAGTAGAGCAGCGGAAATCTCCTCCCAAAACCGTATATATTTTTTTGAAAATACAACGAATACAACTATCCCTAAAAGAGAGACCAGAAGATACAGGACAACAGCCAGGCTACATCTACACCTGTGAGAACCCAGCACCTCACGAAGGGGGTAAGATACAAGCCGTGGCCCGGCAGGACCCGAGCACCCCTTGCCCCAGCTTCCGGTGGGAGGAGAGGAGTCAGAGTGGGGAGGGAGAGGGAGCCCAGGACTGCTAAATACCCAGCCCTAGCCATCCGCACCAGAGTGCAGACACACAGTGCGTGGTGTGCTGGATACTACGGAAACAGGACAGTAAGACCTGTGAGCGGGTCCCTGCAGCTGGTGCCCCTGGGACAAAAGAAAAGCAAGTGCATTTTGAAGGTCTTAAAGGGACAGGGGCCTCACAGCTGGACAGAAGCATCCCGGAGCACTGAGCCCAGCAGCTGGGAATCCCAGGGAACTCTGGGCGCCCTAACCCCCTGGACGACAGCACAGCTTGGAGGCCCCTCATGGAGATAAACAGCCTCCTGCCCATTCCCCCTCCAGCGTGGCCCTGCCATAGTGGAGCAGCAGCCTGAGGCCAGCCACACCCACAGCAGCCGTGCAGAGCTCAACAGCAGCCCAGGCCAGAATCAGAGACCCCGTCTGCACACAGCTGCCCAGCACAAGCCACTAGGGGTCGCTGTTCTCACAGGAGAGGAGGGCCACAAACTAGCAAGGGACATTCTCTCAGATGACACACGTGCCAACTCCCCACAACTACCTCTATCACCATGAAAAGGCAGAATTTGATCCAGACCAGACTAACAGAGACAACCCCTGAGAAGGAGCTTGGGGAGACAGACCTAACCAATCTTCCTGAAAAAGAATTCAAAATAATGGTCATAAGCATGTTGATGAAGATGCAGAGAAAAATGCAAGAGTTAACGGACAAAGTAGGGAGGGTCACTATAGAAATAAAATAATCTCTGGAAGGACTTAAAAGCAGAATGGACGAGATCCAAGAGGCTGTTAATGGAATAGAAACCAGAGAACAGGAACGCAGAGAAGCTGATGCAGAGAGAGATAAGAGGATCTCCAGAAATGAAACAATATTAAGAGAACTGTGTAACCAATCCAAAAGGAACAATATCTGCATTATAGGGGTACCAGAAGAAGAGAGAGAAAAAGGGATAGAAAGTGTATTTGAAGAAATAATTGCTGAAACTTCCCCAAACTGGGGGAGGAAATAGTCATTCAGACCAAGGAAGCAAACAGAACTCCCAACAGAATGGACCCAAGAAGGACAACACCAAGACACATAATAATTAAAATGGCAAAGATCAAGGACAAGGACAGTTTTAAAGGCAGCTAGACAGAGGAAAAGGGTCACCTACAAAGGAAAACCCATCAGGCTCTCATCAGACTTCACAACAGAAACCTTACAGGCCAGAAGAGAATGGCATGATATATTTAATGCAATGAAACAGAAGGGCCTAGTACCAAGGGTACTGTATCCAGCACGATTATCATTTAAATATGAAGGAGGGATTAAACAATTCCAAAACAAGCAAAAGTTGAGGGAATTTGCTCCCACAAAACACCACTACAGGGTATTTTAGAGGGACTGCTCTAGATGGAAGCACTCCTAAGGCTAACTAGATGTCACCAGAGAAAATAAAATCACAGCAAAGAAAGCAGACCAACCAAATACTAACTAAAGGTAAAAAATAAAATCAACTACCCACAAAAGCAGGCAAAGGAAACATATAAGAGCACAGAATAAAACACCCAACATATAAAGAATGGAGGAGGAGGAATAAGGAGGGAGAGAAATAAAGAATCATCAGACAGTGTTTATAATAGCCCAATAAGTGAGTTAAGTTAGACAGTAAGGTAGTAAAGAAGCTAACCTTGAACCTTTGGTAACCACAAATCTAAACCCTGCAATGGCAATAAGTACATATCTTTCAATAATCACCCTAAATGTAAATGGACTGAATGCACCAATCAAAAGACACAGAGTAATAGAACGGATAAAAAAGCAAGACCCATCTATATGCTGCTTACAAGAAACTCACCTTAAACCCAAAGACAAGCATAAACTAAAAGCCAAGGGATGGAAAAAGATATTTCA